TCCACACCCGAAAACTTCGCGGATTTCACTACGAAAATTAAAGCTGATACTCTAATATGTGCAATGCAACCCGAACAGAAAAGTCAACGGATATCACTCCGAATATTTGAGTATCTCCAAGCCGAAGTTGTCCCAAGAGCTCTCCTTCGTTAATCCCATGGCAAGAACTACGGGAACTGCTCGCTACAGCATTTGAATGCTAATTCTAGAAGCCTCTTAGCTCACTTTGGCTAATTAATGCGTGTAAAGCTTTGAGGTTTATGAGCACGCAAGTCGTGCCGGATTCAAGCTCTTGGTTTTGAATTTTAATGAATGTAAAGCGGTGCTGGCTTTGCAGTCATTCCTACCTGAATTTTTTTCATATGTAAGCATTCAATTATGCTTCTCAACGTATTTCATACATATATTATAAAAAATAATGTTTTATGTTACAATGTACGTGCACATCTGAATGAAAATTATGAATAAATTTGAATAGATAAATTTAATACAAAGGAATCAATCTAAATAAATTTTTATCGAATCAACAATTTTGAAATTTTGAATAAAAAGCTGGGGACTATCTAATCTTGAAACTTTTATATTAATTTGTAAATATTAACCAGAGATCAGTAATTTAGTCTAAATTTAATATAAAACTCGTTTGTGAACAAAACTATCATCAATACATATTTGATATGCAGCTATCTATAAGGAAATAGCAATTTTACAAGGTTTTTCTCTAGTTATTCATTTCTACTAGTATTCATACAGAAATAATATATGTACGAAAAAGTTAAAGTTCTTCCCTCACAAGCATTTACTTGTTTCATTATATCTATAAACAAATTCAACGTTAGTCAAGATATTCATCGAATTGCGAGCATATGTAGCTAGGAATATTTTAATTCGGTTCATGCCTAATATCAGACATTACAAGTGAATTCGTCACAGAACAAACAAACTATTTTCCCATTATTTTGAGAGAACCTATAACTTAACTGAAAAATTAGGGCAGCGTTTGTTCCGAAAATAACGTATGATAATTTAAAGATATGTCTGAATTTATAAATAACCTATTTCTGATTCTAAATTGCACCGCAACAAAGGTATCTAAAACTGCCATGTATAATCATTTAAACACCGCATAATTTAAATAAATAATTTAGCTAGATCAGTTGCGGCCTAAGGGTTTAGCTATACTGATTTAGAGTGTTCACACTATTGCATACTATTATGTTATGTCATGACGCTCAGTACAAAGATCATGTAATAACATTATTAACAGCACCTACAAATACATAACAACAAAAACAGTTAAACACTAATGAGCAAACGGTTAAGGAGATTTCTTCGGTAATTAGTTTAAGAATTTATGACGTCAACTCACAATAATTGATGAGCATTCAATATTTACGCCCGGCTCTAATAGTTTCTATGATCTAGATTTACTATTTACATCCATTACTATTTTGGTTCAAAATAAACAAACTAGAATAAAGCGTTATTGACTCATGGTTTTACATATGCATAACCAATTCAGATGCCAATTAGAAATTCGAGTGGGTGCAATTAACGGGTTTTATTAGAAATTTTAATTCTTATCATGAATTTTATGTTTGAATTGGCCTCCAAGTATATTAATTCTATTCAAAGTTACCGTAGTTTCAGAGCCGGCTGGTCGTCAGCCTTTAATAAGCCACCTTCAGTCTGATCCTCAATCTCAATTCTTCCTAATAATGAAATAAATAGTGAACATATAATGAAGCCTGCCTTTGCTTACAGCCTATGACGTCATAGAACCGTAGTGACTCCTGTAGAGGATCTACGGAGGAAGTGAGCCAAGAGATCCTGAGCAGAGTACGAGTCGAACGTTACATCACCGTCTTCATCTGAAACAAACGCAAAAAATCATAAATTAAATCATTACATTCTAATCTAAAATCTAAAATTAGCATACCTAATCTATAATTTAGAAAAGAGCTTCTCCCCCAATGGCGGAACATGACATACAAATGATGAGTGCAGCTACATATCCATATAGAAGGTCAGAGAAACACTAATGTTTATAGCCACTTATTGATGAAATAATGAATAAATGCGACTGCATTAATATATTCGCTTTCTTAACTCATATATGATATAATAAGAGAATGATTTTTAATAACCCAATGGCGATGTATAATCAAGTCTATAAAGAGACTAAATTACATACTAATTTAACCCATTCATCTATCGATCTACGATCATTCAAGTATTTGTATAATATTCATGACAACTATTCACTTATTCGATAATGGCACCGTGAAAATAGACAATATGACGGCTTCTATAAATGTAATATACAACCAACATTCCATAACAAATGCACACGTTTGAGGCTAAATAAATACACAGTTACGTCATTTCAGAGCAAATAATTCCATAACTTTTTTAATATCCTTCAAAGCATCGAAGCAGAGGTAGATTTTAATATTTTTATTCATAATTTACTCGCTTGTTTACGCTGGGGATGAGTTTAATCATGAAAGAATGCACAAATGCATTCGAGACATTATAAGAAATAATGACAAGTCCACATGCATGAATATTTGACGAACTCCCGAGCTCCTGTCATAGAGGGAAAAACTGAAATTTAAGAAAAATAGAAAGATTATTTTTTGCATTATTAACGTGCATCATAATATGCGTAATGATACCTAGTGATGTCGCCTTTCATCTCTCAAATATATTTTTTTCTGTGTTGCTCCACTGTTAGTATTAGAATAGTGAGACATTGACGAACTGAAACGCAAAAATGGGATCAAAAATTGAAATTTGATTTGATTTGATTTTTTTATTTGATTTGAAGAGACGCAATGTCTTTTTTCATATTTCTAATTGCGAATCTATTGAGAGTACTAAACTCTTTGTAAAATGTAGGTTTGATTGAGTTTTTTTCTTTATTACCGTATACTAACTTCATTATTTTTAGCATTCTGGTACGTGATTCTAAAATTTCAGGCATTATCGAGCCTGCTGGGCATTGTCAGGCTAACCTGCTGGTTGTCCAATAAAATAAGCAATGTAATAAAAAAGTTATTAATCTTGAACTCCCAGATAGAGACCTCTAATTATTTATTTATTATTATACGTTATTATGTTTTTACACATATCATTATTAGAACTGCAGTCCTCATAAGTCGTGGAAATGAGCTCTCGTGGCGCAAGTTCAAACATGGTGGCAACTAGGCGTAAGTTGTAGCAACTTACGACATGAGATTGTTTACTGAATTACGACCTGAGATTGTACTGAATTACGACTTGAGGTTATTCCAACCCAGACCCTGAGCTTATTGCGAATTATAACTTAGATATACTACTACTATTTATGACTCTGAGACTGTTTCATCGCGATTATTGTAAATTTCATCAATTGGCTGACTAGAATTCCACGGCTGTTTACTTCAAGCTTCTCCAGCGGAATTTTATTAGTTATTCGTTTTATAAAGCCGGTATAAACAATTCTAAAAGCCGGTAAAACTATTTTAAAAGTCAGTAAAACTATTTTAAAAGTCGTTCACAAGTGATGTACAAAGTCGTTGAATATGACTATCTTGCTAATGAGAGCCAGAGTGAATCAAGAAGAGTTAGGTAGATGCAAAAATCTGAAAACATGAGTAGAAATCGCTCGAAGCGAAATAAATTAATTATTCTTTAGCGGTTATACGACAAAGTTTATACCAATCACATGAACAAACTCAAGCCTCATGTGCGTTAAATCTCTTAGCCGCCGCGTCGCACAGTGAGATGCAGACGCGTGAATGAAGAATGCGTGGCAATCGTGAAAGAGAAAAAAGTGGCAATCGTGGATGAGAAATGCGTGGCAATCGTGAAAGAGAAAAAAGTGGCAATCGTGGATGAGAAATGCGTGGCGATCGTGAATGAGAAATAAGTGGCAATCGTGGATGAGAAATGCGTGGCAATCGTGAATGAGGAATGCGTGGCAATCATGAATGAGGAATGCGTGGCAATCGTGAATGAGGAATGCGTGGCAATCGTGAATGAGGAATGCGTGGCAATCGTGAATGAAAAATGCGTGGCAATCATGAAAGAGAAAAAAGTGGCAATCGTGAATGAGGAATGCGTGGCAATAGTGAATGAGTAATGCGTGGCAATCGTGAATAAAGAATGCGAGGCAATCGTGAATGAGGAATGCGTGGCAATCGTGAGTAAGGAATGCGAGGCAATCGTGAATGAGGAATGCGTGGCAATAGTGAATGAGTAATGCGTGGCAATCATTAATGAGGAATGCGTGGCATTCGTGAATAAGGAATGCGAGGCAATCGTGAATGAGAAGTGCGTGTCAATCGTGAATGAGAAATAAGTGGCAATCGTGGACGAGAAATGCGTGGCAATCGTGGATGAGAAATGCGTGGCAAGCGTGAATGAGAAATGCGTGGCAATCGTGAATGAGGAATAAGTGGCAATCGTGAATGAGGAATGAGCGACAATCGTGAATGAGGAATAAGTGGAAATCCAGAATATTTAGAGATCGTGAATGCGGATGCATGTTCATCACGACCGTTCAGCAATCGTGAATGTAAAATGCTTGTTTGTCAGTGATTTTAAACGATCTATAAATATAAATTCTTGAAGTTTGCTCATGATGAATGTCGAATGTTTGAAGATGATGATTATTAACCGGTTTTTCTAGAAATTTGAAAGTTTAGACATCGTGAATGCCAAATGCCTAATATTCATGAATGTTGTAGGGTTGATATCATTAATCCTGAATGCTAGGTTATTTTCTAAGTTTAATCAAGTTCATCGTGAATATTATTGGAATAGATGTTTACTGAAAATGAACGTTGAAAATGTTGAAGCCATGTTTTGACGGCCCGGTGGCATGACCGGGTGGGGTTACAAGGATGCGGTAGTTAAAGGTGCGGTAGATAACCAATGGTAACGGGACGGTAACTAATGGTAATAGGACGGTAACTAGCGGGACATACACAGCAGGGATAACAATAATAACAACATAACAGTGAGGTCATTTATTATCAGCAAAAATAAGGTTCGGATTATATAGACGTGAACGCCATTACAACGAGCAACATCAACCATAACACTTTTGTTATTAATATTAATAACGTTATATTATACATTAATATTTCTAAGTTACACATTTCTCACTCTACGTGTTTGAGTAGTAGTAGGAGGATTTTGCAGCTACCTACGCGCAAGTGCTACACAATCTACCACGACACCATGTCTACACTCAGAGAAATGAGGAGACTTCGTCCAAATAACGATGCGCTTTTAGCTCTTGTATGGGAGACTGACCCTGACTCATTTTAGCCAGGCATAAGGGTGTATCATCGCCAGGTGCGTAGGGTGTCATTATATAGACAATATGACCCATTCATATCTCTCAGTGTAGTACAAAAAGCACCAAGTTTTTAGTACACTTTTACTTTCATTAGGCCACTCAAGCATATGATTTGAATATCGAATTTCTCTCAAATGGGTAATAGATATACGTACTTTAATTCTCGTTGGGCCACGCACATAATGTGAACTTCGTGCGTGTAGTACAAACGTACGAGATTTTTGTACATTTGTACCTTGCATTGCGCCGCACATTTAATTAAAGTCTTCAGTGTCAGTGATATAAAAACGTACAAAATAATTTTATAAGGATTGTACTATCATCCAGCACATTGCTCCCATATTGAGCTGCACATGTTCGAGAGGTCTAGTTCAACGGGGGTAACCAAATAAATTTAGAATAGATTCCAGTAAAAAAAATTCACCTCTGCAGCGAAAAGTATTTTAGAGATTCAGGAACTGCGTTTAATAGCGATATACGTAGTGGTTTTATTCTTCATGTTATTTAAATTAAGTTATTAGGTTTATTTCCTCTGTTGATAAATCAACTAGCATGAGCGCGTTCTGTCTCAGCCTCATTCAATGCCAAATTTTTCAGCATTGACAGGTTTTCATGAACTTGAACGAGGTAAGATGCGACAAATGATGAGAACATTACGTGTCCCGCGTAAATTCAAATCAAATTTTTATTTATATCTTAAAAAAAATCAAAGAGTAAGTAAAATGGCATTGGGTTGCTGAAGATTGTGTCATGTGTATCAACTTGTGTCACGTCACGTGTATTAACTATACGAGAAAAGTAGCATAAAATCTGTGAGTAAAACACAGCACACAAATTCTCATTAAGCATAACTAGAGTAACAAACGAAAAAATGAATTATTACAAAAATACAAGAACATCAATTAATTCAACGGATAAAAAATACACAAGCCCAAACAGAGTGAGTGAAGGACCGTTATTGCTACATACAACATAATTGTTAATACAAACAAACAACACATAAAATACAGAGATCTCCAAGTACACTAGCAGGAGCAAAACATATAAACCTTGCTAATAAAATTATTAATACATGGATTTATCAGTACATGAATGAAACAAAAGTTTTGTGACTCGAATATTGAACCTACTTGCCGTTATCGTTATCAGTGGATATTTTGAAATTACACTATTTTCGCAATACAACATTTCTCTGTTTACGTAGTCCTGAAATTTTTCTCCAATAAAATGGAACAATATTTGTGTTTCTATCGAGTTGACATAACAACGTTGAACTCATCAACATACGAGCGACATTGAGGAAAGGCAAAAGGTATCAATTAATGGCTGCAAATTGCCAACTTTAAACAATCACTTTCATTATTATAACGATTATTGTTAGAATTAAGACAAACGTGAACTCTTTTCTTATTCATGGTTTTTCATCATCGCCAGAATACATAAAAAAATTCGCAGGCGAATATCATCAGCTTTTGATCTTTATTAAAGTCTTCGTAAATCCACCCCTCCCCCTTCACCCAGGGGAGGTTGAAATATATCGGCCTCTTCACACTCATATAAATAAGCGAGTCCCAAGTTCAAATAGCAACGCACTTTTGTCCTTTTATATATCAGGACTAATCCTGAACCCATACAGTTAGGTTCGGCAAAGGGTGCATCAGTGCAGGCAGTGTGTCAATATTTGGACAAAATGATCCATTCATTTCTCGAGTCTTAATTTGAATGGGATTCACCGAGATCAAGTTTTATAGTCACACTGAGCGCTCGACGCAATAAAATTATTTGCTTAAAACAATAGCAACTCGGGAGCTCGGTTCTTAAACAACCTAAACGTTACACAATAGACTCGACAATAAGAAACGCCGCTTTCAACTTACCAATTCATTCAACTTTAATAAGAACCGGGTTCATGATTCCCTCGTTAAAAATTTTTACACATAAATATTTTCATTTTTATGCTCAGTTGATTAGTTGATATATAATTGAGAGTGAAGCGAGCTCTCATTAATGCGCACCATAGCAATTTTTTTGGCCACAAGCCGAACTAAAAAGTTCGTCGCGCGTGATACTCGGTCATACCTTCTTAAACATTTCAACATTATTTTTGAACATTATTATTATTATTATTTTGATTTTCCATACTTTTTTATTGATACATGTTGTCCATGCACACGTTCAAATGTATTCATCAATATTTACACAATTAAAATGCAAAATGAATTCCTCGAGTTGCAGTTACCGTAAATATTTCGTTCAAGATTTTATAGGATAATTTAATTTATATTACATTTAATACAAAAAAATTACTTTAAAATTAATTAATTCGGTTGTAAACGAGACATGGTGTATTTGCACGAGTCTAGAACCGCGTCGAATTCGATGCAAGTTTTAAAAAAATATGATACATTATACCCATTTAAAACCTGTAATAATAATAGAGCAAAGCACCTCACGTTATCTTCAAGATGCTTATCTCGGCCTTTATACTAATAACTTAACTAAATTTCAACTAATTTCTAAAGGTAATTATCAGGTCGACCGCTCGAACTAAACTTAAGTAATGGCCAATATTACTTGATAACCTATACGAAAATTTCAATAACATCCACCGCGATAAATCATTTTGAATTAATATTGAACGTGGATAAACGATGTTATAAAATACAGCAAAACAATTTTTCGCCATACATACCCTACGTAGGAAACCCAAGAACGATCAAGATTCAACAACGATCAATTGTTCAATGGAATGCACATACACCGCATCTTCAAGGCTCTAAAAAACGGGCGAAATTTACTCTTTACCTGCTACAGTTAAAGAAATTCCTGCCCTAGAGGATGCATTATAATAGAATTACGACTTAATTAACTTCTTAATTAAGTTCAGCCAATCTCAATAAACATTCATAAAATTACGTTAATAACAATTAATATGTCACACGTACGATGTTATAGAAAATGCAACTCGGTTTAAGTTCACACTCATCAGCTGGAACAAACAATCGGTAGTTCAAAACGTTCGTAAAACACAGTTAACGAACTAAATCAACAAACTACCAAGAATTATTTAGCTACGTAGATATCGATCGTCGTAAAGTCCATTCGTACCTGAAAGCCTGGTTATGAGTTACAGTGACAAGATAGTAACTAGTTACCGTGCCAAATTAAATTATTAAATATTAAGGAAAAATACAATGGTTTTACAAGATAGTAACTAGTTACCGTGCCAAATTAAACTATTAAATATTAAGGAAAAATACAATGGCTTTATCACCTCGCAATACGTCGCTGTTCAAATTCAATATTTTTAAGATGACCGATTTTATACATTTTTGAAGGTGAATAATTTAAATTGTCAAAAGCGAAACGACATCAACAAGAAACATCATAGAATATATAAAAAATACAAATTTACAACATTAACACATGAATTATTCAACTCGCAATAATTAGACAAAATCAAGCAGACGATATTTGTGCTTATTTATTTTGTTCACGTCAAGCGGTGGAGGCTTAAGACACTCAGAGAACCGAGCGAGACTTTGTCTAAATAGTGATACACTTATAGCGTTTTTGTGGGTCATCTTGACCCAGTATGGCTCGGTAAAGGGAGTATCAATGCTACGTCACTTTTCTACTCACGCTGTTGGTAAAAAAAGTGGATCACTATTTGGACAATAGTACCCATTCAATTATTTGAGTGTAAAACCTTACGTTATTGCAGCTCAAGATGATATGCAAATGCCGGCACTTGCACCAATGTAGATTTTTACTCGGGAAAAAATAATTTACACTCAAACATATGAGGGAGTCGAGGTGACTCACTCCGGTGAGTCCAAAAATGAATCCATGCAATTTAGCAGGTTTTAGAGACTTTATATCTCAAGCCCGTAGGTTATGCTTTAAGTTGGAAGTGTGTAACTCATTAAAGTGTGTAACCCATTAAAGTGTGTAACTCATTAAAGTGTGTAACCCATTAAAGTGTGTAACTCATTAAAGAGTGTAACCCTTTAAAGTGTGTAATCCCTTAAAGTGTGTAACCCAATAAAGTGTGTAACCTATTAAAGTGTGCAACCCATTAAAATGTGTAACCCATTAAAGTGTGTAACCCATTAAAGCGTGTAACCCATTAAAGTGTGTAACCCATTAAAGCGTGTAACCCATTAAGGTGTGTAACCCATTAAAGTGTGTAACCCATTAAGGTGTGTAACCCATTAAAGTGTGTAACCCATTAAAGTGTGTAACCCATTAAAGCGTGTAACCCATTAAAGTGTGTAACCCATTAAAGTGTGTAACCCATTAAGGTGTGTAACCCATTAAAGTGTGTAACCCATTAAGGTGTGTAACCCATTAAAGCGTGTAACCCATTAAAGTGTGTAACTCATTAAAGTGTGTGTAACCCATTAAAGTGTGTAACTCATTAAAGAGTGTAAACCATTAAAGTGTGTAACCCATTAAAGTGTGTAACCCATTAAAGTGTGTAACACACTAAAGTGTGTAACCCATTGAAGTGTGTAACCCATTAAAGTGTGTAACTCATTAAAGAGTGTAACCCATTAAAGTGTGTAACCCATTAAAGTGTTTAACTCATTAAAGAGTGTAACCCATTAAAGTGTCCAAAGTGAGTCAAGCACAGGACTCGACAAAGTGGTCCAATTTACCAAACTCATTTCCTTGATTGCAAGAAATCACACAAATTATTCTAGTAACAATGCACTGGTATTTTTCACATAAACGCACCAGGCTCAACAGATGCAGCAACATACAATTTATTATTTCCAACTTCTAGCATAAAAATTACGCGTAAGCATATAGATTTATTATTTAATTGACACAACAACAATATAAAGTAACGCCCGTGAAAACTCTCTTCTTAATAGACTATTGTAGTTTAAAAACTCACAATTAATTTAAAATAGGATTTTATGATGGATTTTGTTGGCGTACGTCTGTTTCACAGCCGTCAAAGTGAAGAATCATTGTACAAATATATTGTAATTTAAAATATCTACCATATTATTAATCTTGACGCAATAGTCGATCAACTTCCAATTGAACGAGACAGTTGTAAACGTGATAGTATAATATATGCATATGGCTGAAATCACATTTAGTGTTACTGGGACCTGAGAGGTGGTTTTAGGTTTGAGTGCAGTGAAAATACGTCATTTTTACATATAACTCGTAAATACATGAGAATGTGTTGCATAAATAAAGCATTAACACACTTTTGGTTCTGTGATTTTTGAAAGTGAATACTGAAGTATTAAGTGTACAAATTAGACGTTATTACGTTAACAATAAACAGCGCTGTCAAAAACATTGCCGGGATAGCAGTAAGTAAAACAGGGCGCTACGTCCACGCTTGTTTTGGTGCAGCAATAATCTGTTAAAATCCCCAACTGAAGCTCATCCGCATACTTGATTTCAAACATAATAGCTTTTTGCACCAGTATGGTCGTGCAGTGGTCGTGCAGCGATCGTGCAGCGGTCGTGCAGCGATCGTGCAGCGGTCGTGCAGCGGTCGTGCAGCGGTCGTGCAGCGATCGTGCAGCGGTCGTGCAGCGGTCGTGCAGCGGTCGTGCAGCGGTCGTGCAGCGGTCGTGCAGCGGTCGTGCAGCGGTCGTGCAGCGGTCGTGCAGCGGTCCTACAGCGGTCATGCAGCGGTAGTACAGCATAGGTACAGCGGTAGTGCAGTGTTCGACAACTGGAATAATTCGTTATACTTGATGAGCTTGAGACATATTAGTCTCCATCACTACGCATGGCCGTTAACAGCGGCACCTTCACTGTTGACGCGCGTGCCGTTGTATTTCTTATCCATATCTTCATAGAACTGATCATCGTCGTCCTTTATTCTGAACTCATCATCTCCAGCGACGTTGTTACCGGCATCGATGACGTCACCTCCGGCTTCCCGGCAATTTTCAGCCTTACTCCTACAACCACCGTTACGATCACCACCATTAGAACTTACACAACCATTACCACCACCGTTGACGCTACCACTACCACTTTCACCACCTTTATGGGACTCAGAAGACAAACTTTTGACAATCTTCTTCTGATAAAAATCCCACTCGCTCTCATTAACTTCCATCTCGCGCTCCCACTCGGCCCTGAGTCTCGTCTCCTCGGCATCCATGTGGTCCAGAGGGCAGTTCTTGTCGCCTTTGTTCAGGTCCTTACCGGCGATGTTCACGCAGAACTTGGAGTTGTTCTCCCAGTCATCACGGAGGCTCAGGTTGAACATGCTGAACTCAGGGTTGCCCGTCACGTCCCTGGCGACGTTCAGGAACGCAGGCAAACGGGTGGTCATCTCTTCCGCCGTCAACGTCGAGTACGTCTCCAGCAGCATCAGCCCGTTGCACCTGCATTACGTCCACATATAAATAAATCAGCCCGTCGCACCTGCATTACGCACACATATAAATAAATAAATCAGTAAGATTAGTTATACGCACAGATCAGCATTTATCTTAGATACACGTTAAGTGGATGAATCTGTTCCGACGCTGATTATAACATTGAAAGTCATAATTTCCTGGTAGGACATAACTTAATTTTTTGTGGCAGGGCTCACGGTAAATATCCTACATGCACTTAGGATTACCTCTTGAGGAAGGACTCAGTGCAAATATCCTAATTAAAAATATTCTGCATGCCCTTAGAAGCACCTTCGTGGCAGGGCAGGTGGTAAATATCCTAAATAAACATCCTGCATGCCCTTAGAAGCAGCTTTTATGGCAGGGCAGGTGGTAAATATCCTAACTAAATATCCTACCCGCTCTTAGAAGCACCTTTTGTGGCAGGGCTCGCGGTAAATATCCTAATTAAATATCCTACCCGCCCTTAGAAGCACCTCTTATGGCAGGGCTCGCGGTAAATATCCTAATCAAATATCCTACCCGCCCCTAGAAGCACCTTTTATGGCAGGGCTCGCGGTAAATATCCTAAATAAATATCCTACCCGCCCTTAGAAGCACCTTTTATGGCAGGGCTCGCGGTAAATATCCTACCCGCCCTTAGAAGCACCTCTTATGGCAGGGCTCGCGGTAAATATCGAGCTGGAAGTACTGGTCGTTATGGAGGAAGCAGCGCCGCGTCTTGTATATGACGAAGTGCTGGTCGTCGGCCTGACCCTTGGCGGTGTTCCAGTCCCGCTGGGTCACCTGAGTCCGCACCTCCACGATCTGGCCGAGCTTCTCCGGCTTCCTGATCGTGTAGGTGTACGAGTGCCGTCCTGTCAGCGCAGAGGTAAGTAAGTAACAGGGACAGTAACAGAGATTACTTGATTCAGAAGGACATTTTACGTCAGTAGCAGGTATTACTTGATACAGAAGGACATTTTACGTCAGTAGCAGGTATTACTTGATTCAGAAGGACATTTTACGTCAGTAGCAGGTATTACTTGATACAGAAGGACATTTTACGTCAGTAGCAGGTATTACTTGATACAGAAGGACATTTTACGTCAGTAGCAGGGACAGTAACAGGGACAGTAACAGGGACAGTAACAGGGACAGTAACAGGGACAGTAACAGGGACAGTAACAGGGACAGTAAGAGGGACAGTAACAGGGATTACTTGAATCAGAAGTATATTTTGGGTCAGTAACAAGGATTACATAGTCAGAAGTGCATTTTTCGTCAGTAGGAGGGACAGTAACAGGATTACTTGATTCAGAAGTACATTTTACGTCAGTAACAGAGACAGTAATAGAGACAGGGACAGTAACTGGAACAACAACCGGTAGTAACAGGGACAGTAACAGCGAGTGCATGTAATGCAAGTAGAATTTACGTCAGTAACAGGTACAACAGCACTCAGCAACAGCGACAACAGCGTGGGTATAGCAGACAAAATTCACCTTTGCGTTTGCCAGCAACGTGAACGGGAATTCACGGCAGCCACGAATTCAACGCTAGTAACGCATTTAAAATTAATGCCACTCATAGCAGCTAATGCAAGGGAAACGTTTATTGACAGGATTAAAAGCTGCTATCAACATTCATCCTTGCTATATATAATAGAAGTTCAAACTGGAAATGCATCCTAAAGAACGGAACTTTGAGACGCAAACCATGCGTGACAGAAGAACGAGTTTCCACAATAACCAGATAAATTTCAACAAAATGTACATCACGATCATAATAAAATAATATACTTATATCCCAGTATAAAAATGTCATAATTCTTATAAATTTATTATGTGATATCTCGTTTCAACAAAATGTACATCACGATCATAATAAAATAATATACTAATATCCCTCTATATAAAATATTGTAATTCTTATAAATTTATTATGTGATATCTCGTTTCAACAAAATGTACATCACGATCATAATAAAATAATATACTAATATCCCAGTATATAAAATATTATAATTCATAAAATTTATTATGGTATATCTGGTTACCGTCGGCGCCGCGCTTGCGGATGCGGGCTTGCATCTTGCGGGAGTTGGTGCGCAGGTAGATGTGTTCTACCGTGAAGTCCTGCACAGATAAACGGTGCAAATTACTTATTAGTAATAATATTAACATTAATTGTATTGATTAAGTAATTGCCTATTGATGCATACAAGACAAATTAGGTATTGATAGAAATACTAAAAATTATAAAAATAATAATAATGTAATTATTGCATTGCAAATTGATCCACACAACACAAATTAGTTATTGAAATTAACACTAATAATAATGATATTATTTATAAAATGGCACATTGATGGATACAAAACAAATTAGTTATCAATAATAAATTAGTAATAATAATATTAATTAATAAATTACTAATTGATGTATAACAGAGGGCGTAATACAAAAACATAATTACAAGATCTCAGAAAAAACTGACAACTAGTCAACCCATAACTTAAATTTAATAGATTCAGATAACATAACCAGCTACGTGCACTTTTAGAATAGCAATTTTTAAAATATTGGCGAACGTTTCAAATAATTTTTACATCTCCATCTGCCCTTTAGTGCAGTTTGATTCGAATTAACTGAAATGAGGAGATGAAAGATTCTTAAAAACAAATCGCTGTTATTGAACTATAAAGAAGAAGACAAGTACTCACTTATGACGGCAAAGATGAAATTAATATACATTTAAACTCATTTTAAACACATTCAAGGAATAATTATAAAGTAATTTTTTTATAATATGTCGCAAGAAACACGATACAGTATACTATGATCCATTAGACTTGATTCTCAAGTCTGCGGTGTTGCATACGATGTGAAACTCGTAGAAATCTTTTTTTTTTAATAATGTTTCACCATCGTTTCTTAATTCTGTTTGCATGTTAGCTATTGCTTTAGTCTTGTTCATATATAGAGATTTTTTATTGTTTTTTTTTATTTATTTTCATCTTTATTCTCACTTTTAGTCCAGTTTCTTATGACATATGCGGTATTTACTCTTGTAGGTATAACTATTGTTCCTAATCCTCATTCCTTCTTGCCCTAGTTCGTAAAGAATATCATGCTTCGTATATCTTACCCTAGTTCGTAAATCTTACACTAGCTCATAAATCTTACCCTAGTTCGTAAATAATACCACGCTTCGTATATCTTACCCTATTTCACAAATCTTACCCTAGTTCGTAAATCTTACCCTATTTCACAAATCTTACCCTAAACTTGGGGAACTTGTCAACAGGGGGCAGAGGTCCGAGCACCAAATACTTGAGCTTGCGTGCGTTGTTCTTGAGTCGATCGCCCGTGTCGATGCCTATCTTCTGGCACACCATGCTGATCATGCGCTTGATCTGCCGAACAAACTTGTTACGAAGCCTTCGTATGTCATTAGATTGAGGCAAACAAACGAGTCCTCAAATCATAGTTATCTGACTAACAAATAAGTCACTAAGCCTTAATAGCGTCATTTGAAGCAAACAAACGAGTCACTAACACTAAAGCTTTATAGTATCACCGTTTCAAGGCAAACAAACGAGTCATTAAATCTTCGTAGCGATATGCCAAACTTTTCTTCACCTTGATGACGACAATAATGAATGAATACATTTTATAAATATATATGGGTAGAATTGGCAACCAAATCGTTGAAATTTATCATGAAAATATCATCGTACCTTGCTATCGACAAATTTAATAACGGACAACTTCGTAAAGAGATCTTTTGATTGACCATGAAACCATCATCGTACCTTGGTATCGACAAGTTTGAATACAACGGACATATTCGTCATAAGATCTTTTGATTGAACATGAAACCCTAATCGTACCTTGGTATCGAAGTCAGACGTGTTATCGATGACGTCGAAGTATGGGTGGCCGATCCAGGCCTGCGCGGCCTTGCGGTCCAGCTCCCTCGCCAGGTCCAGGTTCTCGCTGCGCACCACATGGTCCTGGACGCGGTCAGGTGTCCAGCGTAGTTAGTTAATAATAAGTCGCGTTAATTGGAGTGATGATGCTGGTGTGTAGTTAATTGGTAATAAGAGTCTCGTTAATTGGAGTGATGATGCTGGTGCGTAGTTAATTAATGATAAGAGTCTCATTTATCCGAGTGATGATAATGTAACAAGGAATGAGAGGAGTCCACTGATATTCATTTAACGAAATGATGACGCTGCCATTGGTCTTGAATCGTTGCGGGCGCTATTCGTTCCTTCATTAGCTATAGTTACGGTCACTTGGAATGGTATAAATGAGGGATATCAACTCACATTTACTCGCCGCTTTATTAGTTTCTTTGCCTAAATTTGCGAAATTGAGCGGCATCATCTGACTTGACCAAACTTGACTTTACTCGACCAAACTTGACTTGACTTGACTTGACCAAAAGTGACTTGACTTGACGAAAAGTGACTTGACTTGACGAAAAGTGACTTGACTTGACGAAAAGTGACTTGACTTGACCAAACGTGACTTGATTTGACCATAAGTGACTTGACTTGACCAAACGTGACTTGACCAAACGTGACTTGACCAAACGTGACTTGACCAAACGTGACTTGACCAAACGTGACTTGACCAAACGTGACTTGACCAAACCTGACTTGACCAAACCTGACTTGACCAAACCTGACTTGAACAAACCTGACTTGACCAAACCTGACTTGACCAAACCTGACTTGACTTGACCAAACGTGACTTGACTTGACCAAACGTGACTTGACTTGACCAAACGTGACTTGACTTGACCAAACGTGACCTGACTTGACCAAACATGACCTGACTTTACCAAACGTAACTTGCCTTTACCAAACGTTACTTGACTTTACCAAATGTAACTTGACTTTACCAAACAATATTTTACCAAACGTGACTTGACTTTACCAAACGTGACTTAACCAAACGTGACTTGACTTTACCAAACGTGGCTTTACCAAACGTGACTCGACATAAAGTGACTTGATTTTGACTCAAAGTGATTTAACTTTGACCTTGATCCAGCATGACCTCCTGACTTGACCTAGCATGACCTCCTGACTTGACCAAGCATGACCCCCTGACTTAGCCTAGCATGACCCCCTGACTTAGCCTAGCATAACCTCCTGGCTTGACCTAGCATGACCTCCTGACTTCACCCAGCATGACCCTCTGACTTGATCTAGCTGCTAGCATGACCTCCTGACTTGACCTAGCATGACCTCCTGACCTGACCTAGCATGACCTCCTGATTTGTCCTAGCATGACCTATTGACTTGTCCTAGCATAACCTCCTGACTTGACCTAGCATGACCTCCTGACTTGACCTAGCATGACCTCCTGACTTGACCTAGCATAACCTCCTGACTTGACCTAGCATGACCTCCTGACTTGACCTAGCATGACATGACCCCCTGACTTGGCCTAGCATGACCTACTGACTTGACCTATCATGACCCTCTGACTTGACCTAGCATGACCCCCTGACTTGACCTAGCATGACCTCCTGACTTGACCTAGCATGACCTCCTGACTTGACCTAGCATGACCTCTGACCTCTGTACTGTAGAAGGCCTCCGCCCCCACCGCAGCAGACACCATGTGTATGATTTGGTTGTAGCGGTTGTCCCGGAGCTCGAGGGTGTTCAGGTGGTTGTTCGCCAAGATACAGTCCCAGGCCTGAATAAATGAGTATCTCAATACCAATAACATTCATTCATTTTTTAAAAGCAACATGAGAAAATATTTGCGCTTTTATGAAGATAAACTTTCCTTCCATGCCCCTGTGGCTATGTAAGTAAAGTTTTACTTCAGAGAGTATTTGTTTGAATGTTGTTGTATCAATCAAATGTTAGTCCACTACACATCAGCCAGCAGTTAGGAAGATAGGTACTGAAATACTATTTAACCTTAATGCATAGCATACACAACTACCGTATTTATATCATGTAACCCTCCTCTATAGCACGCAGCACCCATACACACATCGTCCAGAAGCCAATATATAATATATACAGTGCAGCCCACATCTACACATCATGCAGCCCCAATATACACATTACACATCGACTGGCCCTAATATATACAAATAAGCTCCATGTACCTGCTAAGAGATGAAGGCAGATGCGTCTCTGGTTAATGGATACAATGCAGCCCCAGACACACATGGTTCAGCTCTCATTAGTACAATTCAGCACAAATACAGACATCATCTATCCATAATATATATAAAGGTAACAATATATACATCATGTATCTATATTATATACAATTTAGCACAAATATACACATCATGTATCCATAATATACATAGTTCAGCGCCGGACACCTGCTGAGGTATGAAGGCAGAGGCGTCCATGGTGCCGCGGTCGCAGATGATGAGGCAGTTGCGGCGGCAGGAGCGCGCCAGGTCGAAGTACACGGCCTCCAGCTGGATCATGGCCAGCAGCAGGTTCTCCTGGAACTTCAGCGCTGCACAACAAATTCAAAATTGTTCTTAAAATGATTAATGATGAACGTTTTTTTTCATTAGTTAGGGTGAATTTTTTGGCTGTTTTATTCAATTACGCTTAAGAGGTTTCATAACAATTGACCGCTGCTGAGTTCAACGTTCAACGCTGCTAACCAATTACAAATTGTGCTCAAAACGATCCATAACAAATTACATAAATAACTTATGTGTGTGCGTTTAGATATGTTGTATGTGTATATGTGAATAAATGTTATTTGTGTGAGAATAAATATGTTGTATGTTTGTATGCACGAGTAAATATGTTATACGTGTGTGTGAGTATATATGTGAAATCACCATGTTTTAGTTAGAATGCGGTTCGAGGATATATGTGATGTTTGTGTAGAGAAATTATTAGTGTCTCAAGGCACTATATACTAAGGCCATATGTGCGACACTTCACTGCCAAAATTGTGCAAGCGAAATAGAGACAAGACGATAAACAATGCCTTGCTACAAAAAGAGTCATTCATGCACATTATATTGTGTAGGGCAGCATGAGAGCGGCCTTATCAGCGACTGTATCAGCTCATCTCGGTCACTATCACATCGTTATACGCTAACATTACGGTAAATTGCTCGCTCACTGTTATTCATCTCTACAATAATAAACAAAACGGTCTTTTGCTCACTCAACATCATCGCGCTCACTATTAAACAGCTCTGCAACAATGAACATTGCCATACTTTTCTCGTTCACTATAATCTCGCTCAAGTATAATCACGCTCACCATCATCTTGCTCACCATCATCTTGCTCACCATAATCACGCTCACAGTCATCTCGCTCTATATCACATTGCTCCCAATCAAATTGCTTATAATCAAATTGCTTATAATCAAATTGCTTATAATCAAATTGCTTATAATCAAATTGCACACAATCACATTGCACACAATCACATTGCACACAATCACATTGCACACAATCACATTGCACACAATCACATTGCACACAATCACATTGCACACAATCACATTGCTCACAATCACATTGCTCACAATCACATTGCTCACAATCACATTGCTCACAATCACATTGCTCACAATCACATTGCTCACAATCAAATCACATCCCTCACTATCACATCCCTCACTATCACATCCCTCACTATCACATCCCTCACTATCACATCCCTCACTATCACATCCCTCACTATCACCTCCCTCACTATCACATCCCTCACTATCACATCGCTATACAAGAAGCATTACGGTGCTCTGATAATACAACTAGTTCGATAGTACACCGGACGTACTATCGTACAACGATAGTACAACAAGCGTAGCATACAAGTACAGGCTTCACACGGCACGCATTTATACTGCCGGTGAGCTGAAGACATACATCGATTATGAGTTGAATATTGTTGAATAAATTGTTTGCTCTGCTTCCATTTAGTACAAGTTTGGAACGTCATCCCGTAGTAGTGAGCATCTACTACGTCTAAAATCTAGTATAAAATTCGTATATATCGTCAGCATCGAAAACACAACAGTGAGACTTGCATGTGAGTGGCAGCAGCAAAAGTTCAACCGCCAATCGATTGGTCGCGTGTGATTGTCAGCAGCAAAAGTATGATCAATCAGTCGCGTGACAAGACATAAACGAAAACAAAGTGAGCCCCGAAGACCTCATTATCTATCAGTCAATATCAATGAAGAATTCCTAAGCGATAATTAGACCTGAGGTCGTTGGGTCAGATACGAGAGCCTGGAGTCGGGATGGTATCACAGATACGCGCACTTTATTATTAATACCATGTGTGTTAGCGTTACTACCAATGTAGTAGTAAAATTACTTCCGAATTAGTAACCTTACTACTAGTGAACTTACATTACTTACACTACTACTAATATATCAATGTGAAATAATAATACTACAGCAACTCTCTCGACGCAAATGACGTTGAAACAACGCTGTTACAAGTTGATTGCGTCAAAACAATGTTTAATCAACGTCATTTCAACGTTCAATTCTCCTTGGGTGACCACAGTCAATATCGAGAGCTGAGTTTCGGTATAAATTTCGTCGAGAAATTAAAACCTTTTCATTGAAACAAATATCGAATTGATAAGCTTTAATTATATAGTTTCAGGTAACACTAATTGACGCTTGCAGAAGTAAACGAAAAATTATTGAAAATCAATACGTCGTGCAGTTATTTTTGCAAAGCATGATGGAATTTTTTTTTATTTTAGCGAAACACGGCCATAGTGAGTAATATATATAATCAACATAATTACTTGAAAAACATACCTCCAGCCTAACAACAAGACCGTCTCAGAACGCTCGGGACACAAGTGTAGGTAGAGCATGGGCGTTCATCATTCCTACACTCAGAAAAATGAGTGAGACGTTTTTCGAATAGCGACCCACTTTCTGCTCCTGTGTTGGTAACTATTTGGACGGTAGGACCCATTTCTTTCTTTGAATGTATACACAACACACATCCATTTTGCTACACGTAAATTACACACAAGCTTGTGAGTGTACATGAACATGCACAAGAATTAACTATGGCGAGTAGATAACAACGGAAATCCTAAACAAAAATCTGGAGAAGAATCTAACCATAATCTAACGGTCTATTATTCGATTCTAGTTGAATTAATTAGACCGCGGCAGTCACGCATGCCGCCCAGCGCTGCCACGGCAGCCACGCATGCCGCCCAGCGCTGCCACGGCAGTCACGCATGCCGCCCAGCGCTGCCACGAGCCACGGCAGCCACGCATGCCGCCCAGCGCTGCCACGGCAGCCACGCATGCCGCCCAGCGCAGCCACGGCAGCCACGCATACCGCCCAGCGCTGCCACGGCAGCCACGCATGCCGCCCAGCGCTGCCACGGCAGCCACGCTTGCCGCCCAGCGCTGCCACGCATGCCGCCCAGCGCTGCCACGCATGCTGCTAGCGCTGCCACGCATGCCTCAGCAGGCTGGAGGCTCAGTAATCGCTCGCCGCGTTTTAGCCATCGCAACAAAAACGTCAAGGGCGCAGCGTTCGTCGTCGCCACGCCAACCAAGACCCGTGCGTTCGCCCCAGATACTCGCAGCACGCGATCGCTTACAAGCACGCCACAGCAAAAGCATGTCAATAGAAAATCAATCAACTAATGAATCACGTTCATGTGTAAGTTAAATTAAAAAAAATTAGCAGAAACAACGCAGCTACGGAAACCACGCGAATGTGAAAATTCGAGAATAAGACACGGTACAACAAGAGCCCCTGAAATTCATCACGAACAACAACTATAATAAAACTGGATCACAGCTTCTTGTCAGGATCATAAGAGCTCCGAAATTATCATATGGTAATCTAACCCGAAAATCGTAGTTCTAGCCAGTATTGTTTTCATCGATGAGCGGTGAGTTAAGGGCAGTATATACTGAGTGGCAACTCTTACATCTTTGGCGGTAGCCTCAACTCGAATTAAGCCTTCCTTTTATTAGCAGATAATAAAATTTGAGATACGATATTTTGCCTCAGACTGCAATAATATGGTAATTAAATATCTAGCTAGATAAGCTTAACTCATTTATTTAATAATATACTTAAATCTAAATGAATTTGCATTCCATTAATACTTGCCTGCAATATCAGCAACCAATCTATTAACGAAACCTCGTTAAAAAATTAAGTCAACGGTTGAAAGTACCGACCCTAATTATCTCAGGAAAAATCACTTAACTAAGCCTAATTAAAAAAATATTGAATGAACGATTGATTTTAAGCGCAATTTCTCATTTTTGGAAAAAAGGCGCTATTGTGCTCGTCATGTCCGTCCGTCCGTCCGTCCGTCCGTCCGTCTGTCCGTCTGTCCGTCCGTCTGTCCGTTTGTCCGTCTGTCCGTCTGTCCGTCTGTCCGTCTGTCCGTCTGTCCGTCTGTCCGTCTGTCCGTCTGTCCGTGACTTCACGTTTTCGTCAACAAGAAAATGCGCTCTCTGTCACTCACTGCAGCGAGTACTGAGTTTATTTTTATATTTTCTATATTTATATTTTTTATCATTAGTACATTGGACTCCCGACATGAGCAGCAGGTGGAAAGATTGCGATGGTTGCAGCATGGTTTATAGGACGCTACGTCAGCATATTCCTTATGATGAACCTACGAGCTGCAGACGCTGAGTCAGCGTCGAGCGTTCAGCTTATATACAGACACGTGCCTGGAGCGAAAATTTGTTTAATTCAATTAAAGAATTCCTTGATAAATTTCCTGATACACAAAGACGACTTTGTCGGAACTTTTTTCAATAATACAGTTATTATTGATAGCCAAAATATAGAGCATGAAACTTAGAGTGAACTAAGCTGTTATAAAAAAATACGATTCAGTAGATTTTTCTAATTACCATTATCCTTCAATTATCCTCATAATCTATCATGTGGGACTGACACTCAAGTGAATGATGGAACGAATGTATGGCCCATTCATTCCTATAAGTGAATGCAGACCAGCATTGAAAAAACTTAATACGAACAACTTTTCAGACACGTACAATTTTTCAGACACGTACAACTTTTCAGACACGTACAACTTTTCAGACACGTACAACTTTTCAGACACGAACAACTTTTCAGACACGTACAACTTTTCAGACACGAACAACTTTTCAGACACGTACAATTTTTCAGACGCGTACACTTTTCAGACACGTACAACTTTTCGTATATACTTACCTTCTTCTTCGGTGAGGTCTGCAAACTTCACACCGCCGCTGTAACAGAAATGATACGTGAAAACTAACACATGATATACAGAACACTGTCGAGTTGACAAATACATACATATAACACTCACATGTATAAACCGTAAAGAAAATAATACAATGATCAAGTGATGCGTGGGACTGACATGTAGATGTGATACTTGAAAAATATAATGTAAACATTATGAGGGAAATAGAATTTGATTCTCAAATTTATAATGTTACAGAAGTGCAGGAAAAATAAACGGAAAACTGATACGTAAAACGAATAATGAAATTGTGATACGTAGAAAAATATATAGCTTAAAACTAATGCGGGGAACAGACGTGTAAATATGAAAATATGATACGTAAAAATTACAAGATAGAAGTAAAGCATGAAACACGCATATCCCAATGCGCATTGAACTTAAAAGGTTTCTTATGTAAAGCATGAACTGTCCGACGCGTGAAACTGACAGGTTAAATAAAGCAGGCATACAAATAAAAGATTAAATACGGCCCGCAAGAACTGTTCAACGCACTAACGTGAGAGGTTAAATATAGTGCAACTAACACGCACAAACCCTGACAGGTTTCAGGCAACACGTGATGCTGAGCGTGCGTCAGACTGTCATGCAGACACAGGCAACTGACAGGCGCCGTTATACGTGTTGACGGCGAATAATAATATGATGGAAGGATGATGAAGATGATGGAATGATGAAACGAAGATGAAACGAAGATGATGGAATGATGAAACGAAGATGAAACGAAGATGATGGAATGATGAAACGAAGATGAAACGAAGATGATGGAATGATGAAACGAAGGTGAAACGAAGATGATGGAATGATGAAACGAAGGTGAAACGAAGATGATGGAATGATGATACGAAGATGAAATGATGGAATGATGAAACGAAGATGGAAGGAAGGAATGGTGAAACGAAGATGGAATGATGGAATGATGATGAAACTGAAGGAATTATGGAACGAAGGTGAAATGATGGAATGATGAAATGATGAAACGATGATGGAACACGAGATTTTAAGAACATTAAATTAATAGTATTGAACACATTGAACAGGGCAGGACAAGAGAACATGGTAAACAAGAGAGAAGAACACACTACATATTCACTAGAACAGTGCACAACAAGAGGATAATACATATCCATAATCCATACCTCTTAATTATATATCATAATGCAATAATCCATAGCTCTTAATTATATATCATATTGCAATAATCCATAGCTCTTAATTATATATCATATTGCAATAATCCATACCTCTTTATTATATATCAATACAATAATCCATACCTCTTAATTATATATCAATACAATAATCCATACCTCTTAATTAATTATATATCGTAATGCAATAATCCATACCTTTTAATTATAACTATTTAACTATGTATAACTATTTAAACACAAAACGCATTCAATAGCTCAAAAAAGCGTAGATAAAGCGTAGAATATTAACACAAATTGAATGAATTGCGGGTTAATGAAGATTTATCGAACGTATAATAAGATACAATAAATAAATTAATCTAAATGAACAGCAGATATTAACAGATAAATCAGAATAAAAAGTAATTGAAGTAAAGCAAGGAAATGCTGACAAATGCAAGCACTGGCTATGCGCTACCTCATTTTGGATCCGCTACTAAATATTTTCACTTCATATCTTATCACTCAAATTTAAACGAACATGACGAAATCCATTACGTTATCTCTCTAATGAGAAATAAAGTGATACGCATACTTCAACATAATAACTCACTATGAATGTATAATTAGTAGACGAGTTTCGTGAAAATTTTGTGAAAATAGATCTCTTTATCTTTTTTTAGCCCTTTTTTCTAAAATAGATCTTTGAAAGGGCCTCTTGCAACTTGAAACTTGTCCAAAACAGGCTTGGATTAAATAGCTTGAAATAGAAAATAGCCTTAGATCAGACTAGCTATCGTCAATAAGGACTGAAGGCAGCGTTGAATTAATTAATTAGAAATACAGAATTGTAATTATAAATAAACAAATACGAGACTATATGCATGCAGGCCTTATTATAGCAAAGAACAGGCCCATGAAGGGACAATCTCACTCAGAACCTCGCGTGGGTAAACTTAGTTTATTTCGTTGCCTAGCAACCTCACATGTCCGCTCCATGGTAGGGACAAACTCTCATAATTACGCATATAATTGGCCGAAATATGAGTTTTCGGTTTCAAATTGTGGACTTTCACATTGGTTGTTCGTTACTTTGATATCAATATTTTCATCATGATACAAAATGTTGCTTAATAAATCGGTGCAGACTAGAGTTTGAATGAAAAAATTATTTACGCGCGATAGATTTCTATCAAAAGTTCTTGTAATAGTAATTTTTTTAAAGACGAATTACTTAAAACAAAAATAACTTAAACACACATGATTATCACCGGAATTTAACCGTGCATGGGAGAGCCATCATTTTGAAAAAGTTATTATTGAAAGGAAAAATTATTTATACACGAAAAAAATAGACAAAGTCGCCTCTACTTTTAAAAGTAAACATATTAAAATTATATTGAATAAAAACATAAATTAAATATATGTTAAAAAGATCTAAGTAATCCCGCGACTCACCTGAGGAGAATGGTTGCAGTTTCCGGCACTCTGTACACCTGCAATGAGAAAAATAAATTATTACACTCAGAGAAATAAATGAGATTTTATCCAATTAGAGATGGATGTAGGTCATCTTGACCCAGTTTAGCTATGCAAAGAGGCGTGTCACCGCGGTGCTGCGTGCAGAAAGTGTAGTAATTTGGACATTATGAGCCATGGATTGTTCTGCGTGTACAGTCCGAAACTAAATTGAACAGCCCGACTGTTATCAACAAAACCACCCACCGTTTAAGTTGCAAAAACACTTCATCATAATTTTTGTAATAAATATATCGAATTTATTTATTATATTGAGGGTAAGAAGTCATAACCTGGAGATTTTTTTCGTCTTCCAAAGAACGCATTTCATCGAACGACCGACAATAGTTTCACTTCAGAACCGTAATGACATCTCTAAATGTTGTCACTCTGAACAATTGGTGTTACGGATTTCTAAGTAGTTAATCAAAATTTATTGCATCAAAACCATGGTAGTCAAATTGCTTTATTTAGTAAAATATTCCATCCTAATTTGCTTTATACGAACTACGGTAATGTTATACAAATTTCAAATACGGGCAAAATACGTTTGGGTATGTTTTCTGCGAATTGTTAAAATAAAAAATGAATGATTAAAACCTACAAAAATAAAAATAAAATCACGACATAACAAAATTTACACTGAAAGAATTAAAACCTACGTACCGATAAACGGGTTTACAAATTTACATTCATTTAAACCTTGTCGCCGCAACGCTTAGTTTCTTCCACTCGAAATTGTTAATTAAATGAATTTTCAATTACGTTTCGATTGTTTTGATTCGATTACGGTTGGTACATCCGTTATAATCTTTTCAGTATAAATTTGACCTTTCTTCATGTGCTTTTAGGTTTTATAACTGGTGAGTTTAGTTTTCTTGAGTCAATTTGATATTTAAGGAAAAATACATGAAAGATTAAGAATCAGTGTTCAGTTGTTATAATCATAAGATTTTTCTCTGACATATCAAATGCAAGGAATGACTCGGAACATTTCTAAACACTATTTATAATTCAATTGTTTACTTCAAATCTATACCCTATAGATCGTGTCGTCTGGATCACCATCAATAAGTGAATATTTCCCAGCAATCAATTACCAGGCATTTTAAAAAATTAACCTCGAATTCATAATACAATTCTTGCAAAATTTCTAATTTAACCACTAATATACCAATGTCGATAAATTCATCTCCGTAGTAATTATTCCATTTATACCTCAAATGCTATCACTAATTCAATCTTCATGCTGGCACACACGTCGGATTATTCGTAATTCAATTCTTACCAGAATGGTAATTCAATTATTGCCGCAATAAACGCTTTATTAATAGTACAGTTGACGCACACGTCGTATTATACGTAATGCTATTCTTACCAGAAGAGCAATTGCCGCAATAACCGCCGTATTAATAGTACAGTTGATGACTAAATTCTCGTCATTGACTGAATGTCGGCCCGCTGCGGCTAACGTACGAATGTCGTAAGTCGAGAGGGCAAATCTTGCAACATCGTAAATATTCTTACGAGACGTGGTACAAATACTTGCGACATTGTAAGTTCAAAAGCAAATTGCACTTGAGATTTTGAACATATGTCGCTGACGCGAGGACTGCATCAAGAATAACCTTAAAGCGTACGTCATGACTGTGTGCGAATGTTGCACCATCTGCAGGGCTATATAGGCACGCCTATAGAATAATAATAATGTAATAATAACAATGATACCCTGTGCAACTGGCAATCGTTGAGATTCAATCCCAGAACACGCTAAATTCAGGTCAATATCAACAACATAACATAGGGGTCAATATTACAATCACTACCATACAACATTCGGGCCAAGATTACATTCACGGCTAAAAAACATTCCAAGATTTCAAGTGAGCCACATTCACGGTCACATTAGATTCAGATTCAAATTAAGTACACATTTGAAGTAAATTCTCATTCAAATTAACATCAAGGTTAAAATTCAATTCAGTGTTACATTAAATTCACCTTCATATAGAAATTTGAGTCACAACCATATATTCACGGTCAAAATTAAATTCGCGGCTAAATTATCTTCGTGTCCACATTAAATTTAAGACGATATGCAATATTCAGGTCAACATTAAGTTGACGGCCACATTGCATCAGTTTCCCATTAAATTCATGTGCACGTACCACTTGTGTGTCACTGAATAACCTTGCCGGCAAGCGAGTCAGGACTCTATTTTTGTTAGTGTACAATCAATTCAATATCGAGTTAAAACAGGATGTAAAATAAAATTCAAGCCCAGAAGATCTTCGAAAAACACTTAAAACAAAAAAATATATAACTCAGTACTCACTGCAGTGAGTGACAGAGAGCGCATTTTCTCGTCGACGAAAATTTGAGGTCACGGACGGACGGACAGACGGACGGATGGACAGACAGACAGACGGACATGGCGAGCACAATAGTGCATTTTTTCCATAAATGAGAAAATGCGCTAAAAACAGGATTTAAAATAAAATTCAAGCTTGAAAACACTTCAAAACGTGCCGCAGCTCAAGAGTTCTATTTTAAATAAAAAAAATATATAATAACAATCCAAGTTCTCTAGTTTGTACATCGAAGTATTTCATTTAATAGGCTATTAGTTTTATTTATAAAAATAAATAATTTAGAATTAGTCCTCACAGACTCTTAGGCTTGGAGCCTGATTATCAAAACAGTCACGAGTTCGCGTTCACGTCAGACAATCACTGACAGCTATTCAAGCTAATTAAACGCACCAATCACAGACTGCAAACCTGGGTCAGGATGACCCATCCAAGTGAATCGCTATTAGGACAACGCCACACTTATTTCCCTGAGTGCGGCAGCTGTGATGTTGCAACAAGCATGAGGTTTCGTCACCAGAGGACAAACTCAACACTCAACCTGACGATGTTGATATATAGTGGAGACAAACTTCCGGTCTAAAATTTACAAGCACGTAAAAGAGAAATTGTTCTTCTTGGAATATTCGCTATACCGAGCGTTGGGAATTCTTAATAATAAATATATAAATGGCAGAGAAAAAATTCTTTCATGGATCGCCGACTCTATGATCTTTGACTCAATTAATATGTTACCGTACCTAAATATAATGTATACGGTTAGATTCAAATTGAATACGGATCAATTGGATTTCTAACAAACTGTGATAAAAACATGTTGTCAACCTGAACCGATGACATAATAATTAAGTAAATTAAATACAAAAATCAAAAGAATGTATCTCGTATTCAGTATCTCTGCAGTAACTAATTGAAAAATGGCTCGCGGCTTCCTCACGAAGAACTACGACAGAAATCGTTATTATTATCAACACAGTTGCATTTAAGAAAATACAAATCCTTGTCATATCCATCTTTCTTGAGAGTACAAATTCGTGTTATTCAATTTAAGTGTGAGTGGAAGCCGTTATCTCAATTAAGAACTCCGAAAGCTAATCGGTTCACTCCACGACAACAGGCCTATGGTACAATATATTATAAATTGTACCAAGACATTAAAAACGAAGAAAACGCCAAACAAACAATATCTTTACTGATAACGTTTTCTATTAAGCTATGGTGAGCAATTTTAATATATTATGTTATTATATCAAGTTATTAAATTATTATATTACCTTCCAGCCGAGGTTCTCAAAGAAGGTGCAGAGTCGCGACTGGCCTGTAGTTTTACCACCGCATGGCCCTGCGAACAATAAATAAACAAGCCATAAATAATAATAATAATATTAATAAAATTTAGTTTCAATTCCTTAATTTTATTAAAAAAAGTACTTGAGCATGAAGGAAGAAAAATTATTTTTTAAATAGTTTTGATTAATTTATTTTAGCAACAAGGAAAACAACTAAGCATCAGGTAAGGAAATTAATGCAAATTCCTAATATAACATACAGAAAATTACAACAGAAGGTAAAAAAGGAAAGCGAAGAGAACACTAAATAGTAAATAAAAATAAAGAACTACGGCATAGAGGCAACGCTCTCCGTAAATCGAGCTTTACAACGCAAGCATGTCAGAAGAAAAACTTCTCAGAACCGTGACTGAATTTTTCTTGCGGAAAATATTTATTACAAATGTTTCGTTGCTTCGTACGTATTTTGAAACAATTTTTCAAAAGGCGTTTGTGTTCTTCAGTTCCCTTTTCTCGCCTAAAATAAACACAATAATCCGAGACGCAAGCAAATCGTCACATCAATTTGTTTTCGTATGAACTTCAACTCAGAAATGTGCATACCTGCGTTGATCATTAGCGATACGGTAATTAAATCTTTTATGAAGACTAATTATTCAAATCAAATAAGACATTAAAAACTTCATTTCCGCTGCGTTCGTTCAATCCTTCAAGAAAAGCGATTATTCTTCAAGTTAAAAACTTCATAGCAGTGATTTCGGCAAGACTAGAGAGGGTACATTAAAAGGAACGAGACCTTGTCCAAATATCGATGCATTTTTAGCGCATTTTCTCATTTAAGGAAAAAATTCACTATTGTGCTCGTCATGTCCGTCCGTCTGTCTGTCCGTCCGTGACTTCACGTATTCGTCGACGAGAAAATGCGCTCTCTGTCACTCACTGCAGTGAGTACTGAGTTACATTTTTTTTGCTCTTGTGTGTATCATCTTGACCCAGTTTGGCCCGGCATAAGGATGTATCAATGCTACGTGGAGAAACTGTATCAAAATTTAGACAATGTAAGCCATTTGCTTTTTTTTGTATACAGCGCCTCCTAGCAAGTAGTTTTGTTAACCAACAACACCGGCAACCTTGACTATTCACAGGAGCAAAGGATATCTGAAGGATGTTTCTTCAAACAGCCCAGCGGCGAGGGAATATTTGTATATTTTGTGCACCCAAACTCTCCACAAATCTTCACTTGTGCAACGCGCGCGAATATCGGCGCAAAAATGTGTAGAAAAAACGCACTCGGAAAATTGAATGCGTCATATTGTCCAAATAGAAAGACTTTTTACCCACCCTGTTAGCAGACAAGGAAAATAACACTGATATAAAAAAAGTCCAGAATGAATCAGGATGACCGATACAAGAGCGAAAAGTGCATTGTTATTTGAACAAAATTTCACCTATTTTTCTGAATGCGGGGCTCGAAAGGCCAAGTGTGCATGCCGCCCTTATAAGGCGTTATGTCCTTAATGAGTACTCTATGCTGCCATATAAGGCGTTATGTCCTTAATTAAGGACTGGAGGTCCAAGGCGGCCATCATAAACCAGGCCTTTTTTGAAGTGTAGCCGATGCAGCTTCTGCAGCCTCGTTCAGAAACGGACTGCAGTTTTACCGCACATAAGTCGCCAGTGAAGAGATTAATTCAAGTTCCCTCGAAGACCACAGAGTATATCTTATTAATAATTTTCCCATTTATTTTCCAAATTTTCAGTTAACAATAAAACTGTTATTAAGGAATACTCTGGTCTTCAACGAAACTTGCAGTAATCAAGAATTTCTTCGGTTCTAACCTATTATACAAATATCAGATTCTACACGTCGTGCCGCTGGTCGCTAAAAAACGTATAATACTGAATACATGAATTCTGCTGAAAACTATGATTATCAAAAATTCGAAAACCACTAAATAACTATAAAACTGTTATTTTCGCTAGAAAGATGTAGTTCAGTTTGGTTTCTAAACTAGATCGTTTATAGGTATTGGAGATAGGCGACTCAAGTGTTGTGGCGAAGTTATTGACATTGAAGGTAGCCCTAATCATGAATGCTATCGAAAATTCAAGTTAAGCTTCCAGTGAATTGAAAGGAATTAAATATCGGGAAAGTGCACTACAGATTTGAATTATAATTATTTTCATTGAGAGTTTTCTAGCATCGTGGAATAAGGTATCTAAATATATGTTACACTATAAGAATAAATGCTTACATTAATCAAATAATTAGCTACTATGATAAATGCATATTTGTTACTATAACTTCGTGTTGATTCACAGTCAGCGCTTGTAATAAGACGTGTAACAGAACGCATTTGAATAAATGTTATATATAGCCAAATCAGTTTACATGTATCTGAATTTAAATTAAAGCTTCCTTTCGAATTCAATAAGTTTAGATTTGACAACAGACGACTTAAAAGGCAGTAAAAATGCAGTCAAGCAGCATTTTTGCGGCTTCAGAAGAAGAATAAATCGATAAGCTTAGTCAGTCATCTTAGTCAGCGCGTAATTCACAGTCGGGGTAAAACCGATGATAATTCAAATGTTCAGTCACGAGGTGCACGTGGGGTAGAGAAGAGCACGTGTAGCCAACCTTACTTTATCTTCCGTTCATTTCATTCGTCTTTTCAATCGTGCCAGCGAAATAGAAGCATATTTCTAAAAATAGTTAGTTTATAATAGTCACTATATGTGAGTTGCAGTCAATCTCTTACCTCCGGTTAAGACAACTTTGTAAATGCGTTTTGTCGGAGATTGACGATTACTGGGGCTGGTGTCCTCCATCGCTGCGATTTCTACGCAGTGCGAGACCACACACCCTACAACTGACAGAGTCGCACTGAGGCTGCTGCTGAAAATCGACTACCTTCGCCGACTGCACCGCTGCCTTCAGCCATTCAGCCATCCGCTCTTTTCTCTTCACCTTTCCAGATGCATTGCGATGTTGATAAATTATAAATTCAATCTTTCGCCCAATAATCGTCTGACAATAAAAAATATATTTTAATGCATTTTATTAATATCAATTAGGAGTGTTTTCGAATCTTCATGGTGAGCCAGACGATTAATAAAATTTTTTATTATTTATTCCCTTGTATTGTATTATCAATTCCCTTGAAGCAAATGAATGATTATACAAAAGGCAAGTGAGAATAAATAATACAGCAAATCAATAATTTTTACTATTTATGAATTTGAATATTACAGGAGTTTGACTTGAGTGTGGATGTTCTCGTTTTCTGCATACAGTAATTTTCTTTATTATGGTTGTAGATTTTACGAGAAACTCTTATACAATTATGTTTTGTTAATTAGCTAATTATATATAAATAATGTATTTTATTATAATCATATGATAAGTAAAAAATGTATTGGAAATGGTTTTTCAAATCAGTATTTTATTTTCATATTTTCCTTGTACAATGTTAATCCCATGGTTGAACTATATAAGGTTGACCCACGAGAAGTTCCGTCTTTCAGTTCAGCTTTCTTGTTACGTCACGTAGATCGAGAAACGTAAACAAACTCGTCATTCCCATGCCTGATTGGTCGACTGGTTTGATCGCATTTCGGTGATTGGTTAATGCCCGTGACGTCACTGAGATCAATGACGTCACAGGCGAACAACGAGCTACATCCGCAAAAATGGGCTTCTGATGGGTCAACCTTATACTAGTTCGGGAGCGCAGCCGTGCACCACCAATTTTGTGCACCAATAAGCCCTGAATCGAACGCCTTGGATCTCTCCAGACCTACACCAATCAGCCGTGCACCACTCGGCTTTTACCTCTTCCGGCTTTGACCACCACCTGCCGTGCACCACCAGGCCGCGGATCGAATATGACTTCCGGGCATCGTTAAATTACGTAATTTTACGTTCACCGCATGTGAGGTTAGGTTTCAGATAGCAACGTTCCGGAAGGCAGGAATCATGATGGTCCATTACATCCAGGGCAGTGGTGGTCTTCGGCAGGCGACCCTACTAGTTCAACCATGGTTAATCCAGCGTACAAATTAAACCGGGCGTAGCAATTAAATGTACACGTAGCTTTAGGTGCCTGTACACGGGGACAGTACTGGCCGCCAGTTCATCCGCCGCTTGAACTGCCCATGCTACTGGCCTCGTGTATAGTGAGTGGTTCAGCCGCTTCAGAGGCATGTGCCCGAGAGGGACAATGATGTGTTGTTTTCTTCGTCGAGACGTCGACGAGCGGCCAATAGCGCTGATTCAGCCACGGCTAGAGCATTTGTGCTGCTCTTATGAATCATCTTGAGTCAAGTGAATTATGGAATGTTTGAACGATAATGGTTCTAAGAAGGACCCAACAAAGTGGAGTCCAGACGATATTCAATGTTTCATTGAGATATTCCAAAAATGTGAATTAATGTGGAATGTTCGCCATGCTGGTTACTCCAACAAAATGAAGAGAGAAACGAGTATTTTGAAACTGCATTTTAATGGCTAGAATAAAGAGTGTAAAACAACGAGCAGACTCGAGTTGTTGAAGGTGATCCCACTATCCATTTTTACAGACCTCACTCGATGGTTTCTATCGACGATTCCGGCGGGCGCGAACGAGAAGATATTTGGCACCTTACACTGTCCTCGTGTACAGGCTTACTTGCCGACAAGCGTCAATAGCCTGTACCCGAGGCGGCCGACACACGAGTAAGCCTGTACACGAGGCGGCCGACACACGAGTAAGCCTGTACACGAGGTGGCCGATATTTGCCAGATCTACTTGCCGCCTGCACTGTCCCCGTGTACAAGCACCTTTATTTAAAGGTGCTTGTACACTGGGACAGTGCACACGGCAAGTAAATCCGGCAAATATCGGCCGCTTGGTGATTATGCGGCAAGTAAGCCTACACTCGAGGACATTATAAGATGCCGATATCTTCTCTTTCGCGCCCGCGCGCCAGTGCGTCGTTGAAAGCCGTCTAGTGAGGTCTGCGAAGATGGATAGTAGGATCACCTTCAACAACTCGAGTCTGTACGTCGTTTTTATATTTTTTATTCTAGCCTTTAAAAACGCAACGTCGGGAACAACTAAAACCTGACTAATAAGGTCTTCTTTCAGTTTCAAAATGCTCGTTTATCTCTTCATTTTGTTGAGGTAACCAGCATGGCGAACATTCCACATTAATTCATATTTTTTTGGAATATTTCAAAGAAAAATTGAACATCTTCTGGACTCCACTTTGTTGGGTTCTTCTTAGAACCATTATCGTTCAAAGATGCCCTAACATAACATAACATAGTGATGTCGCCGCTGAAGAGTAGGCCTGATGTGGCCTATCGCCGATTCATTTCCTTTTCGTGCCTTGTTCACAGAAGATCTAAAATCGTGTCATTACACCGGATCTTTTCAAGACTGACGATAGTTTGAAATAGCTACTAGACTTCCACCGGCTTCGATTTGGTGCTAGGCATTACATATATTTTTCCATATAGCTTTATCTAGTTCTAGTCTTCTAGTCTGTTCTTAAATGCGTTCATACTCGGAGCGCTAACAATGTAATCGGGGAGGCTGTTCCACATGTCGGTGATTCGAAGCGAGAAGAAATGTTGTCGCGTAGAGAAGTTGTAGCGCAGTTTTTTTAGTTTATAGTTTGAATATTCACTTGACCCAAGATGCTTCACGAGAGCGGCGTAAATCCCACCGTGGCTGATTCAACCCAACTGTACGTCTCTCAGCCTCTCAGGCCGTCAGAACAACACGTACAGTACATGCTTGTCCCTCTTGGCCGCGTCTCGGGCACATGCCTCTGAAGCGGCTGAACCCTTATACACGAGGACAGTAGCGTGGACTGTTCAAGCGGCGGATGAACTGGCGGCCAGTACTGTCCCTGTGTACAGGCACCTTTACTGACACCAGTGACTAGTTTACTGAGACCAGTAGCTTACTGACAGCAGTGACGTCAGCAGTTTACTGAGACCAGTAAATTACTGCTGAAACCAGTAGCTTGCTGAGACTAATAGCTTGCTCCTTGCTCGTACATAGCTTGCTGAGTCTAGTAGCTTGATGAGTCTAATAGCTTGTTGAGACCAGTAGCTTGCTGAGACCAGCAGCTTGCTGAGACCAGTAGCTTGCTGAGACCAGCAGCTTGCTGAGACCAGCAGCTTGCTGAGACCAGAAGCTTCCTAAGATCAGTTATTTACTGGAACCAGGAGCTTTCTGAGATCAATTGTTTACTGAGACCATTTCATTCAAAAATAAATACAAGCCGACGTGTTTTAATTACTATGACTGTAACATTGAGTTTGGTGTCCAAAACCCGCCTCTCTGAAACTGAAGGAAATCGAGCGACTACTTAGCCCATGAGCGACCAATTAAATCACGGTCTAATATTTTATCTTTTTATGCGAAACTACCTATTTTACAAGCACATATACGTTTAGGAGGAAAAGTGAGTGATAAATTGTCCGACCATTTGAATCTCAAATTATAAATCTCCAATTTGCGTTTTTCCCATGTTGTCTTTCCTTTCCTTATTTCATAAAATATAAAATAAAAAAATTCTTTAAGCGTCAGAAATTTTTGAACATCGCTCTCTGCTATAAAAATTAATGTCAATATTTATTGGGCCAGATTGACCAGGCATGAGGGCGTACCAGTACTGCACGCACTAAGTGTATAACTACTTGGACAATGTTACCCATTAATTTGTCTAACTGTCCTGTATGAAATTTATTCAGCGTAAGGTTCTTCACCAACTCTTATGCTGTTCATACTGGGCTTTCTTATAACTGTGTACTTTTTAACTATATAAGTAGCCTATAATCTTGTGATTTAAAACGAGGGAAGACAATATCAATTTACATACTAACCGTTTTAATTACAAACTAACCGTTTATATTTACTATTTCGTTTCATTCTTTATTTACTGTCTTCTTATTTTTTCCAAATCCGAGAATAATGGTTGTTTTGAAGTTATCTACGTACAGCTCATTAAATTAAACTGCATTTGAGTGTAATACACTCAAAGAAATAAGTGAGTGTTTGTACAGATTAAACCAGAATTTAATTTATGAAGCAACTATTTTTCGAGAGAATTATAAATTTGACAATATTTGAAAAAAGGTTTCATTGAAAATGTTATTTGATCAAACGAAGAAGGAAAGAATTTATTAATGTGAAATAGCAGCTCAGATTCGGTATTCTGAGTGAACTTCTGTTCGTCCACCATAACAACACTTTTTTCAGGCCGGGCATGAGCACCGGAAATATTTTCTTCATGAGTCTCATTGGTGTGAATACACGAAATAGTATACCAATTTCCACAAAGTCATTGAAGAACAAGATAATGAAAAATAACAGGCAACAAATATTACATGTATCGGATATTAAATTGATAACAAGTTATAAAAAATGTGACAAATTAAAACCAACAGTACGTGAACGTCGTACATCGTACATGAAGATGCCAGCTAGTAATTCCTTGGAATTCCGACTAATTTAAAAAAATTGCTATCGAAAGTAAAATATCATTGAAATAAAAAATGAAATTGAATATAGTTTCATCACAAATTTCAAGTTATCCTAATATAATATTGAAAGTTATATATGTAAAATTATGAGGTGTTTGCGACCATGAACAACCTCATCACTTAAACAAGGAGCGAGGTTATGTGGCAACAACGCAAACAATCATTCGGGCAGCAGGTGCTGTGGTGTGAGGTTAGGATTAGCTGGTACTGGTGAACTGTGTTAGTGAATATGAGTAATTAGTCATGTCTCGTTGGTAAGTTAATTTTTACCATGCGCATTTGCTCTTGAGTCATTTATATAAGTTTTATTTGGTCCCAAGATGGCAGTTTGGGATCGGTTAATGATTTTACTAGTAACGTTACGTGTTCGTTGTTCTCCCAGTCTCACTGCATGAATGACCTATTCACGAGTAGGTAGGTAGGTATTCAGTGTCAAGGAGCCGTGCTCGGTCAATTATGTTAGCATGTTGGCCTCCATTTTAAAGGCAACAAGAACTGAATTCCTTTACTTTTGCTATAAGATATATTAGTAATCGATTATTAATTGTAAAGCAGCCTTAAGGCCTGAACTGTTTTGAACTTTGAAAGTTTGAAGCAATATTTCTTTGTTATTATTTGTTGGAACTTCAATTTGTAAGGCACGTTTTTCTTTCTATCTTTTTTTGAGATGGGGTTTAACGTTAAGATTAATAGGTAGTCTTGGTCTGTTAAATAATTAGCACCAAGAGACTCAAGAGTCCAAGACTAGGTAAATAACATCTATCCCATCTTGAAATGTTACTTGATATAATGAGGAAGCTATAATTTATTACTTGATCTGTTTTTGATGTTGCTCTCTGTTTTGAGAAATACCTAGCTAATTAGCCAATTTTGAATATCAGGCACAGGTTCTCTAATATTGTGAGCAAAGGTAATAATTAGGGTAAACGCGGTATATTCCGTCATAGTAGGTAATTCCATTACCTCTTTAGTTTTTCCTTTATATTAAGCTTTGTTTTAGTTCCATGCGTTCGTTGATGGTTGAAATGGTGACGTCATACATTTGCGTGTCGAACTAATGCCAAAACACTAGGTCTTGGCCATCTAGTGGGAAAATATTGAGATCCAAAGAGAGACGATGAACGGTTATTTTTTATAGTTTTTCATTTCTCGATGCGTCCTTAATGTGACAGAATATACCGCGTTTACCCTAATTGTAGTGGCAATGTTCAAAGATTTCAGGCATGGTGGAATTCCAGAATCCAGCCTGGTCAATTTCCAGGTACTGGTTGGTCATTTAGCTTCACCAGGACAACCAAAGCTGGACAGAGTGCATTTGGTAACTTTTTGATCTGCAGTGGCAGCGTTCCATCTTAAGGGGACCGTGTTGGTCCAAATCAACAGTTTTGGCTTTTCCTGTTTTTAGTCTCATCTTAAACTGACATTCTGAGCTATCCAACAGTACCAAAACCATCTCTGTACGTTGATTTATGCAGTCAGGTCAGATCATGAAAGGGAGAAGGGTGAGGGAGTTCTTTAACAAATTAGATAGGAAGTAATTTGCTGCCGAGCATATAAATAGTCTCTACTCGGACTGCAGCTCAGTCACCCTCCTGTCATTGAACGGGGAGGTGTACATGCAGTTGCTCTCACCATCAGAGTGGAAATCTAAGATTAGAGGTTCACTTAAAAAAAAGCGTTCCGCCTTGAAAAAAAACGTTCCAGGCAAGTGGCAACTAGAAACAGGTTTAGTGGAAGTGTGCTGGACGTTCCAGATTTTTGGGTCCTGCTTTCCAAATTGCTATGTTTACCAGTTAATATATTACCCCTCTGGATTTCCACACTGCTCACCATCCATGACTGGAATTGAGCTCCAGTAATGCCTAGTTTTGTATCTTTGCTACATTGAGTGCCTATGCGCGGCGCGCGGGACTTTGTCGCACCCTCCTGAACATTCACACTTTTTGTCACGGCAAAATTAATAACTCCTAGAGTTTTGAAGCTATAGCAATGAGACATATACCATTCGATTCGTAATGAAAAGATCTAGCAATTTTCGAGCTAGTTTTTTTTATTGTGTTTTAATTTGGATTATATATTGCAAAATGGGGGAGAATTAGGGGAAATTTCGAAAATTTGAAATTTGTCAGAAAAATCATCATAACAAGAGAACCAAGGAAAAAATTGAAGAAGTGATCGGTAATACTTTTGATTAAGTGCATCCAAAAAAGGGTGTTTTTTATTTTAATTGTATGTTTTTTGTGGTGTAGATTAAGAATCTGAAATCCGTTTTTGGCGGTTGGCATTGGAAATTTTTAATGGAACCTGTTCCTAACTGGACCTAACCTGCGAGGTTTTCGTTGATTGGCTGGGTTTTTTTCTATGTTTGGAGTCCGTCTGGCAGCCGGAAAAACCTAGCCAATAGGTTTTTTCTATGTTTGGAGTCCATCCGGTGGCCGGAAAAACCTAGCCAAGCAACGAAAACCTCGCAGGTTAGGTCCAGTTAGGAACAGGTTCCATTAAGAATTTCCAATGCTGACCACCAAAAACAGATTTCAGATTCTTGATCTACACCCCAAAAAACATATAGTAATTGAAATAAAAAAAAACTTTTTTTGGATGCACTTAATCTAAAGTATTACCAAGTGGCCTGACAATCTGTAGATATGGTCTTTACGCATCAAATGATACGTGTCTCGATGTTGTAGCATGTGATTTGCAACAGTTAAAACTTTTTTAGAGTACCCCCCTTTTTGGCCGTTTTCTATGAATTTCACGTTTTATTTCATTTTTTTTAAATTCACAAGAACAAAATGATCATCATTTTCGATTTTACATATGTGTACCAAGTTTGGAGATGATCCTTCCCTAAATATAGAAAATAAATTTTGACCAACACGGTCCCCTTAAGTATGCAATTTCTAAAACACTATGCCCGAAAATGTTAATGACTTGTAGTTAAGAATAGAAGCTTATTGTAGCTGGCTTGCTCTCCCTCGAAAGCCTGAAGGTATGACAATGTGTACATTGTGCTCCATGAAGAGCTATGCATTTACACGTTTGCTATTTATCAACTATAGGAGATTGTAGAATACACATGGTTAGTCTTTCAGTCATGCTAAACCTGTCATATACCATAAAATGGGGTAACTTAGACTGGCATGGTAACTTAGACCACTTTTCATTTTTTTAACAAAAACCCCCAAAACTCAAAAACTATTTGACAGAGAAAAATTTTGTCAATAGGCATTTCAGGCCTAATACTGAGGCTACATAACACAATAGAAAGATTTAAAAAGTTTGCATATCTAATAGGTTGAAAAATTAAAAATGTGACCCCCAAAAAAAGCTATTATTTAAGCCTTCAGAGTACCCCCCTCCAATTTTTTTATTTTTCGGTTAAATAACTCCAGGTTTTGATGCATTGTAGTAGAACTCTTCTAGTTACATATGCAAATGACAAATTTTAGGAAAGTATCATAGTATCATATCAATCAAATATAATTGATTTTACCACCCGGTCTAAGATACCCCAAGAGCTGGGGTAACAAAGACCACCACTTTTTTTGAAATTACATTAGGACTATGAGAGGCAGGATCCAGCAATTTATGGTGAGTGAAGCTAGAGTATAGACCTGTATTTTGCATGTTTCAATTCAAGTTTAATTCAGCTAGTAAAAAATGGCATCATTTATAAAAAAAAGTGGTCTAAGTTACCCCATTTTATGGTACTAGTCATGGACAATTATTTTAATGGTAATAGAGAGTCATGGAAAAATACAAGTACAAACCCTGTGTATTTAATGATTTTTTATTATTACATGTCAACAGAAAACTAATCTGATGGCTGGAGCTAAGAAATTAATTCACAAAAATTTTATTCTCATTGTTCATTACGTCACATATTAATCATTAAATACTAATTTTGCTATCCTGAAAGGCAATTTGTCATTGAAAATTTAGAATAAAAGCATCTAGAATTCTTTAATAAGAGCTAAAAATGTTTAAAAAACTGAAAACAGAATCATGGTGTGTTGTGACTCAACATAAACAAAGGATGTAAGCAAGCTTGTCATTGATTGATTTGCAACACGGTTTAATAGTACGCTCTTAGCCAAGTTGGTTGTACAAAAGTTTTGAAGGTGTCGCGCTGATCGTATGCTAGACGTACCTTCTTGAGCTTAAGTTCAAGAAGTTACGTCCATTTATCAATGTTTGAAAGCACCTGCCCTGAGTGCTCCACACACAAGAAAGGGGGGGTGCAATTCAAGGACACTACAAGCAGTGTGTTATTCTGAATAGGTAATATATTCTCACAATTATAAAAGAAAATGGATTAAAAAGCCTATGACATTTACCCAGGCATGTTATACCTTTCACTGCAGTGACAATTGATACACTGAGCTAATCAGAAACTGTCATGGTTCTGATATCACACATTGTTCCAAATTGGACACTGGGTCATTGACCCCCTTACTCAATTACATTCACTAGTCATTTATCCGTAACTGACAAATTCTAGACGGAAGGTATAAAAACACAAATGTGTATTGCACAAATAAACCCCTATTTAGTAAGCCAATATTTGTTTAGCAGTTCTAACTATTTTGGCACTAGAAACCCAGGAGAGGTTTAAAAAACCCAGATCCTTGTGGAAAAATCCATTGCTGGGAGCCCTGTGATGCACATGTTTTGTACCAATTGGCAAACATTCAAGCTCCTGCCTACTTTGGGAAATGCTGATCTATTGAATAGTGAATTATCATACATGAAAATTAGGTTATGTAGAAACAATGAAATCAGTTTTGATGACTAATGAACTAGGTATAGGTAATAAGGTTTGGTATAGGTAATAAGTTTATGACAAAACTTATTACCTATACCAAACCAAACTAAATATAAATAAGTTGAAACTTAGAAATAATAATGGTTCTACCTGGTTGTCAGCTAGATCATCTAAAAACTTTCCTACAAAACTTACAATTTCAAATTGTAGAATGCACCAAGGTGTGATGGTGCACATCTCTATGCCTAACTGTAAACTCCATGTTTTCTTTATTTTGTATTATTTAGCTTGAGCTTGTATTAATGAACAATTAATCTACTCACATATAGAAAAAATGCAAAATGTGAACCAAATGGTACAGTTTTAATATTTTTTGTAGATAGATTGATTCTGGCCAAAGATTCTGGCCTCCAGGCTTAACCATGTATGCAACATACCGTATACAAGAGAGAATAGAGCACAAGAATATTGATTTTATCAATAACTGATAAAAAAGGTTGAAAAATTGAGGCAGTTACTTACAAGAGGCATCACATCCTAGTTTCAGCTTCTGACATACATAAAATTTATTTTGAATAATTTTAAATTGTCAAAATAATGTTAATCAAATTCAGCATAATTTATAATGTTCCAGAATGCTAAAGATGAAATGTCAATTATAGGTATACCTGATAATTCATTTGCCAACAGGCTTGTGTAATGGTTGTTGCACCTTCATTACCATGTACGTACCTTAGAATCATTAGCTGTAGATCAACAAATACGGTACTTGTCTGTTCAGATTTTCAACAAAAGATGCCAGCAAGACCAGTATTCAAGGAAAATGCCTACACATTCATCTAATATCCCTCACATCCTTCTAACACCAAATGCATTATTAAAGATATTTTAGAGGCTGTAACTTAGCCATCCAGTACACTGATGTCTTCTAAGATAAACCCACCAATCACAGATGAGAATTGGCATTATTTGCACATAGTGCACTACCTGTACTTGAGTGAATTCTGAGAGTATGGTTGCAGGATTCTAACCCATAAACTTCCATACAAGTTTTAATTTTATTTTTTTTATATGTATGATTCATAGATATTGTGCACTGTGTATATATGTATTCAAGTTTATTAATTGTGATAATATACTGCATGTGTGCCATCTTTTAATTTGCTAAAATTATCTAAATTTTTTATTGGACAGTATGTTATTGTGTACTTTCTCTTTAATAATTGATTGATTCACAACATTTTTGATCATTTAGTGTGACATTGTGTAATATCTGTTTAGAACCATAATGGTTTACAAAGTTTTATTGTTGGATATGTCCTTATGAGACATATGTGAATTATGAGAATAATTTACAAGGTTCTTGTGTTCAGGTACACGGTGGACCCAGTGAAGGTGTGTGGGGAGCAGCATGGCAATGTCACCATTGCCTACCATGAGTGCCTGTGCCAGTTCAATTATGCTTCCCAGAAGCGCAAGATGGGAATACTCAAGTTCCGGCACTGCGCCCTGGCTGATGAGATGAGGAAACAGATGGACTTTGACATGTACAAAATAATTGGATTTTCTTGCGTGATCTTTGTTGTTGTGGCCATTGTTCTTTTCTGCAGTTTCAAGTGGTACCAGCAGACAAAGAAAAATCCTTGCGTTGGTTGCTGCTCATGTTTTTCTTGCTTGTCTGGTAAAAAGAAGAAGAAAAAAATGTCTGCGCAGAATGGCCTTTGTAATGGGTCTTCTGCTGCTGGCCATGATGCTCACGATTCAAGTGCAGGTTTTGATGAGCATTGGGCCCAGGAAATGCACGAATCTCTGCATTCAGATCGACAGAATGGCTTTGCAGGTAATGAGAATGAGAACAAAAGGAGGAGCACACTCTGCATGAAATTCTGTCTCAGTGAACCTGTTCAGGATTGTTGTGAATTTTTTGACTGTGATTTGATGTGGCACAAAAAAAATGTTTATGCTCAGCCTTACTATGGTCGGGCAAAAAAAGGTTCTTCCCAGTCTTCTGGAGGGGAACTAAATGGTGCTTATGGCATGACCGGTAGACCTCCTTCCTCAGGCGCTGCTAACAACGACAATGTACCTACGCTGCAGAGGAGACCAACCCGCCCAGCACCTCCGCCTCCAAAGCTACCAGGGGCACCAGGCTCAGCAATGAACAATGTGCCCATGTTTGAAGATGGTTCCTTGATTGTTGATGATGATATTGTATGTGAACCAATCCCTGAAGCGCCTCCCTCACCCGAGCCTGTGAGACGGCCACAGCAACCTGATCAACCGCGGTCCATTTATGTTGACCCACTTGCTTTCTTACAAAGGCCTTTCCTGCGCCTGAGTATTGCTCTCTCAGGTCGAGAATCAAACCAGAAAGACGGCAGAGCTGAGGGCAAAGATGATGATGAACCTGATGCCCTGTACAGTCGTGTCAAAGATTTCGTAATGAGTAAAGTGCGCAAAAGCGGCAGCATTGTGTCACTGAACAAAGGTGTGTCCAGTAATCCAGATGGTGCTAGCGAGACCTCTTCTAAGGCAAGGAACAAATATGGGAAGACTGCAAGTATGGCATCTCTGCACGACATTACAGAGACAGAGCTTGACAAGAGTTATGATGGGAGCAAGCGGTCCATATCTCTTGCATCGCTCACTGCAGTCAATGGCAGCTCTCAGTCCAGCAATGGTGCTGTTGTAAACAGATCTCGCCACGGTTCCCGCTATAATGTTGCTGATGAAGACGTTCCTCCAAACCAACGTGATGAGTACATAGACTTGGAGGAAATGGCAAGGAAGATGGCAGCTCGGTTACAGCAGCAGCAGCAAGCAGCCCAACAACTTGGCCAGTCGTCCAATCACCTCAACAACTCCCCTCCTGTCATTACTTCGCAGCCCTTGTCTGTACATGCACTGCAGCAGGAGCATCAATTCAACGGCTCCTACAACCCCAACACTTCACTGCAGCAACATCCTGTCAGCAGCCATGCCACCACATCCAGCCATAATACATCTGCTGCCTCAGTTCCTCAGCCCAGTCCAGTCAGAGGCAAAACTCCAGATTTCATAACCGCTTCTGCCTATGGGACTAAACCTTCTACTAACATGGAAGACAACATGGCAGATCATGAGATAAGACAAAGTGTGTCCAACCATAACAATACTCAGGCTGGTAAACCTTCACAGATTGCTATGCACAACGGATTGCAGCCGCATACAAGCAATACTTCACCTTCCTCATCATCTGGCTCTGTATTTACTCAGCAAAACTTTTCAAGCTTTCAGTCAGATCCTCGCAACAGCTCCGTGACGGCTCTTGTTGATGCTACTGGTACAGTGCCCATCAGTATTGTCAACCCTTCGTCTTATACCCCCAATGGCAACCATAACTCGTCTGGCTTACCCAACTCTGCTGTAGTAACGCCTGGTGCGTTAGTTCCCTATGCTGGCAGTCGATTGGAGTCCCACAGCTCTGTGTCGTCCGTTGCCTCAACTCCCGCTGGCACTTTGAAAAGACAGAAGCCTTCAGTTCCTCCTCGCCCATCTTATGTACCTGAGAATCCTGGCTACAAATCTCTTGGTCGACCCACCGTAGCACCGCCAAGTCCAAAGTTCCGTGGTACCGCTGGGGCCTTTGGCAAGATGGGGGTACCGAGCTTGAGTACTTTACCTCGTAGCCCGCTGGTTACCGGCAAGCCTGGCATGGTACCTACCATTCCCACCCTTTCTCTGCATGAGCAGCAGATACTGCAACAACAGTTGTTACAGCAGCAACAGCTGCAGCAATTCTACTTGCAGCAGAATCCTCATTTGAACCCATCATACCAGCAAATGTTGTTGCAGCAACAACTGCTACAGGAACACACAATTATGACACCATCTGTGCAGCAGCAAATTTTGCAGGAACAGCAGCTATTCCAGCAAATGTTACAGCAGCAACAGCACTATCACATGCAGCAGCAGTACCAACAGCAGTTGTTACAACAGCAGCTGCAGCAAGGAATGCGTTACCGACAGCCTCTATCCTCGACATCATCTACAGCATCATCGGCCTCGTCTAAATCTCTACGATCTGTACACAAACCCTCCCACCCTCCGCCACCCCCACCCTCATCTGGCAGCCATGGCACTTCAGTTGTTGGCTCTTCTATGCAATAACAAAAGTTTTATCTTTTCCACATTATCATATTAGTCTTCATTCAAACTCAGTTGTGCTGAAATGCAACTTGAACTCAACATCTATACTTGTATAATTTGGTATAATTTTGTTTTGCATGTCATAGTTGAGTCTCTTTTAGACTTTCCTTAGCGCTCTTGTGCTATTACACGAGTGAAATTGCACACAATCGATTATCATGAAATTTCTTTGAAAATTTTTATTAAAAAATTCTGTACTGCTTGAGATTTATACGAAAATAATAACCATTCAATCGCATTTAAATGAGCAGCTTTTTTCGAGGCAGCAACTGCTATTTTATATGTAAAATAGTGGTTTTTAATGCGATTTCGTCCCGCACTTTTAACAACTTTGACTTAAAGCTTCAGAAAGTGACGAAGAATTTTATCTCTAACTTTGTTATTATATATTGATGCATCTCAACCATTCATAGCAGCTCATGTGCTGGAAGTAATATAGTGATAATAATAATAGTGATAATATAGTGTTCTTTAACTTTTAATACTTAACTGACAAACGTATTTGTTAGCCTTTTTTCTCTTCCTTTTTAGATTTGTAAGATTGTCTCTGGTGAAGGTAAAGAGTTGGGAAATTTTCAATATTTGCTGGAAGAATCGCACAATGTTAATGTCCACAGTACTTCCGTATAATATTCTTTACTTTGTGTCCAAAAATAATCTTTTATCGCTAACATGAATATTGTAAGAAAAAGTCTACATTTCATTGCATTTCCGGCATTGTCATACTTTATTGATATTGTATAGATTAATTGGATATTGATATGGATATGCCCTAGAATTCATGAATGTCGCAGAGAATCTCTGATTCAGTTTCAGCATTTGTTCTATAAGAATCTCGGCAATCAGCCTATGATATTATTCTATCACTGAACTTTAGCGGTCTCTGTTACCAAGCCATCGCCGCCACGGGATGTTTTATTCATTCCTAATTTTGATCGTTGAGTGACTCGAGCTTGGTAATGTCCTATAATTTGTTACCACGTGTAATTATTTTCAGGGGTTTCCCCATGATGAAACTAACAGCGTTGATAGCTGATCTGATTGTGTAAGTATTAATAGGACTAACTGCTCCGATAAGTGCTTCCTGCAGTGTAATAACCTGCGTCTTATGACCAAGTATTTCTTTATCTGAAATTATATTCCTAATACGTCAACCAAATTGCTTTGTGGTATATTCAACAACTCGTGAGCCCTAATGAGTCGAGTTATTCATTCAAATTACCTATACTCTAATAATGCTCTGACCAAGGTGTCTCTCTAATTTAAGAATAGAATTTGCTTTGAGGATATTTAAATTTCCAAGTACAAATGATGCTGTGCGATGTGAATACATGTAGGATGTAGCATAATCATCGGAAATGTAACGAGCAGAATTTTACGACCAAAAATTCCATCATGTGTGTGTAAGTACTTGAATCCACTAAATTTTTTTGATCTATTGAAGGAATCATTATTTGTGCATGGAAACCCGAAAATAAACACCATTAAAGTGGAGTCATTCCATTGAATTGTAGTGAACATTTTTGTGAAGTATTCCAAGTTTTAGGTAAAAATACTAGACGGTTGTATCCGTATGCAATCCCACGTTATAACGAATGGAACTTGTATTGCAAATTAGTTGTATCGAAGTATTTTTACATTTTTCTACATTGTGACCGAGATTTCTAGATGCTGGGAGTAGGTAGATCATTGTCAGTGTATACAGAAGGCTGTGATGCTTGGCACCAATTGTAAATCGACTGTTCAATATAACATTTGTATGCCTTTAAATTAATTGCTGATTTCACGTTGCCTGTGTGGATTAAAATTCAAATGTTACAAACTGCTTTTTGAATTTATTTCTTCTTAAAATATTCCTTTATTTTTATACTCGCGCAGTCTTCTCTTGCTCGTTTATTCCTGCTCACTCACCCAGTCTCGTCTAGCTCATTCATTTCTGCTCACTCACTCAGTCTCGTCTAGCTCATTCATTTCTGCTCACTCACTCAGTGTCACCTCGATCATTCAGCCTTGTGTTTTGTATGCTTCATTACTCGCGTAATTAATTAAATTAACAAGGGCATCATGTCTGTTTTTCCATTCAACCCAATCCTGCAATTCATTCATTTGTTCTCTTGAATGTACTTGTATGTCGTAATTTGTCCATGTGTATCGTACAAAATATGATGCTCAAACAACTGCGCAATTTCACGGTCTTCCAATTTCATTTCGCCAAGAGAGACGTTGTACTTAGAAGAATTATCATGTATACTTCCTTCAATTGCATATCTCGAGACAATCGTTAGCTCGTTTAATAGTTAGTTAGTTGTTGCTGACGAGACCATTTCTACTCGCATTGCTGCTCAGAATCACTCGTCGTTCTCTCAAGTGACTCAAATGAACTCTCGTGCTAAGAAATTACATTTAGCGCAAAAATGTTTCTGTGTGATCCCATCTAGTAAGATATTCACAGTTCGCCTTCTTTCTTTCTTATCCGAATGTTTTACACACGGATAGAAAAGATTATTTATTTTAATCTTAGTGTACGGGGCTGTTTTTATTTACATGTGGAAGTAATTTTTGATCTCCATGTGGTAACTAGAACCTTCGACGAAATTGCCCCCTTTTATTGCTTGTATTTCAAGTAACTTTCATCATTTTTCTCTTTTTCTAAATTGACGCTCTTTTCACATTTAGCAACTCCATCGGAGTCTGAGAATAAAAATTATGGATGAAGTGACAGATTATTCAGATTTTAATAAGTGACGATGTTTTCACGTCTCTCGCTGTGCACTCGGCCATTTCTATTTTAAATAATTTTTCGTCCAGGCCTTGATTGCCATCAAAGCCCTTAAGCCAATATTGTTGCACTAATGCATATTCCTAGGTATCGTATTGCAATATCGTGTGCCATTTGTCAAATACGTAAATGTTGGCTACAGGGATTTGACCCGTTAGTTACGTACCTATTCAAGTGTCAGTTCACCACTTCTGTGAATTGAGGAAAATTCACGTTTATAGACTTGAATTTATCTGAAACAACTGCTTGACTCAGGTCCTCTATGTTAAATGCTCAGGTTATTACCTCTACACTTTATAAATTTACACATTTTTAGTTATGGTAACTTCAATGCATACTCACATTTTTGTGCTATTCCTGTTGTGCTCCGCTGGTATTGTCGTGCTCCTGTTGTACATTAGGACAAAAAAATCGCTCATTTCTCTGAGTGTAGATATCGGGCTAAATAATGCGTGAAGCTGTTTGGCCGTGGCCGATCTTTCTTGACGTGAATATATCAGTGAAGATATTCCACGTCTCTTGCATATAGGAAGATCCTGCGTGAGGTCCTGGCTTGGGAATCTTAATTACCTGTAATATTCCTTATTCTAATAATTAGATTAATCTAAGCTTAAATCAGGTGAGGCATTTATGATCTGTTTTAGTACTTATTGCAGTATTGCTTCTGTTAAGTCTAGGGTGACTGTGGCGAACGAGTTTTCTGCCGCGTTCGATAAGGATTATTTTTAATTCGATGGAGGTGTTCAGTGAGCAATTATTCTTGAAGCTACATTTATAAGCATCGATTCATTCTCTGTTGTGCATTTTAAAACTAAGTTCTGAATTAATATTAATTAGGTTTTGTTCGACACTGTACTTGTATATGAAATAGATTTTCAAGAATGATCTACTATCCAGGTATCCTATTTTGACGAAAATATCCCTCTGAATAGAATTGTTAGCACTATTTCAGTTACATTATTTTGGGATGAATATCAAATACTTTACAGGATTTTTATGGATCACTTTTACAGTTAAATCGTTGTGGCTGCAGTTTATCGCTATTGTTGGTGATAATCACCATTTAAGGCTTAGACTGACATTCAATAGTTTTAGCAGATGAGCTGACTCGGCTTTTCTTCTTTAAGTTCGTGGACGTGTTTTCTTAACCAAGATTCATTGTGCTTAAATGAATGCCGCACAATAAATTTCTTCCTCAGTTTTATAGTGTTTACATAGCTTTTTTTATTACTACACCGTATAACGTTCTTCCATCCGAGCGTTTTGCTCAAATGAGTTTGAAAGAGAATTGTGTGTTTCCGAAATCGTTTGAATTCATAGACCGCTTAACTAATTTCCCTTTGAGATGAGTTTTGGATACGAAAAAAAAACACGATGTCCCTGTACGAGATATCAAGATATATATCCATTCGTGTACTCCTACCACCTGTAGGAGTATAGGGGGGACTTCTGACGGGTGTCTGTGCTCGTCAGAAGTCCTATGGGATTTCGCGCTCCTAGGGGGATTGTTCCTGAGCGCCCCACCGCTGAGCTCGCGGTGTCTGACTGTAGGTCTCAGTTGTGGGGTTAAGTTATTATGTAGGTAGGATACCGTACATCAATTTATTATGTAGGTAGGATTCCTTACATTTCCCTTCTCTGTCTCTCTCGTGCGGGCGGCCGACGTCCCGTGTAAGCGACCTCTTGTTCGAGTGTCTTCGTTTCTGTTGCTTTTCACCTGTCCATCCTTGTCACCTGTCCCTTCTTGTCACTTCGTCTCTTTGAGATGCTAACGCTGCTTCCTTCGAGCCAGCTTCAGCGGGCTGGACATCTGAGACCTTCCGCTCCTTGTGGGTGATGAATAATTGAGACCTTCCACCTCTATGGTGATGTTCATCTTGACTTTCGGTGCGAGATAGCTAAATAGCTGAAGCGCTAGTAAACATTTGGCCACTAAACTAAACCAAACTAACTCCTACCACCTGTAAGTATCGTGTGTCAAGTCTATTTTCTACTGCATTGCTCTGCGCACAGTCCTTTGTTGATCGTTTGATGATTTACCAAACATGCGATGCGTTCTCTTCACAAAACATTGTGAAGCTCTAGAATGTCTGGAGATGTTGTGTGGAACTCGATCTCTTTTATCATTATGGACCATTTTATATTACACCTGTAGTTAAGGAATGAATAAGTGTGTTCGTAGGAAATATTCCCATCACAGCATTTATAAGTTCAACTCCTGGCGTCCGTTGCTAAACGTTTCCTTCTTTCTTTATAGAATGAGCAAATATTTATATCTAAGCACAATATGCGCCATCTTCGCGGTAATTTACGTTCATTTTTCAACTCGTACTGTAATGTTATCTTTGTGTTCATGGCTTGCCTTGCCAATTGTTAATCCCACCAAAAAACGATGTTACATTTCCGCTCTTTCTTTGACAGCGAGTCGCCCTTGTATTTTTTATTTAAGAAGGTTCCACGAGCCAGCCTCGTTGTCTTGACAGCGCCTACCCTTTTTTTCTTTTTCGTGTTGTATGTTTGACCATTACTTTAACCCTCATTAATCGTCGACTAACTGTATAGCTTTGTGTTCTTATGTTTACTTTGATCCATGTTAAACGTTTTTTTTTAATCGAGTTATGTTTCAATCATCTTATAAAGTCGGCTCGAGCTTTATCACTCGACTGCCAGTAGCTCATTACGGCATCATTATTTGTTTACCGAAATCCTAGCTATCATCCGCGACTTTTATTCTTGCTGACGGTGAAGAACCGAATGCTCACTAAGACAAGTTCAATCTACAAAGGCATGAAAATCTATTAGTATTTAAGGCTTAGCTGAATAGTTAATTATTTAACTAGAGACATGAGTATTACAGTAACCGGCTAATGCGATTAGGTTGTTCATTTTGTCGTATTATTCATATTTCTTTTTCTTTCGTCAGCTGAAGCAAATACAATGATTACTATCTTCACAGTTTTACATGTAGAAATCTTTGAATCAATAATAACTTGGCTCTGCTTACTTTTATTGTTTTCAATTATGCCATGACCAGTAAGATCTGTTATCATCGCTACTCAAAGAATGTTATCCTTCAACACAGCAGCGTACACTATCCTCCATGGTCTTCGTGATTCCTAAAATCTATGATATTATTAAGTGGATGATGATAAAAACTGCGTTATTTTTGCTGGTCAGGCATAAACCTCCTGCTATTTATTTATGTCTGACGTGTCTAAAAAACTCTGCAGGTATTAATTTTTGCCTGCCATGCCTTTACGCCTGCCTGCAGCTATTTGTTTTTGTGGATCATGTCATAACGCCTGCTTGCAGCTATTTATTTTGACTTTCACGCCTCAACAGCTGTTTGTAGCCATGAATCTCTGTCGGATTTCAACTAATACATGAATTATCCCCGTCAGTTTTTGCTGTACATTATGTCTACTTAATTAGTTGACAATATTTATGTAGCTAGTACTAAGTTTTCTCATTGTTGCCACATAAAATTGTTTAGCTTGAATTAAGGATCGGCGTTGTGTAACTTCAGATCTTATTTTCATATAGACCATTCGTATGTAAGTAAAAAAGTAGACCTGCTTCCGAAATGTGTTTCATTTTCCTAATTGGTAGGTTCAACGAGAAAGTTTCATTTTACAATATTTACGTAATGCTTGATGACGCTTGAAAGGTCAATAAAAAACTAGAACAAGAACGATAATCGTTTTGGTCTGACTCATGCTGGTACTCACAGTACGGTATATATGCCAATTCAAATCTTGAGCATTCTCGAGTGCTCTGAAATAATGTTACTAGATGAGGAATAGATGGCTACATTTCTAACATTGACATAGAAGTCATTGTATAAAGTGTGCATCTCGCTACTTTATTCCTTATCATCGACACCATCGTTCTCACCCTGCATACCACCTTGAACGTAGAGAACTCATAGATCCTTTTACGCGTCTCAGACGACCATTCTTGCTTCATTCCTTTCTGAACTGCCACCTATTGGGCAAAACTCGGCAATGGCCATCCGTTGCGTTGCCTAGTACATTCCAACCACAAAAATTGTTTTTTTTTTTTTTGGGTCCACTTTTCAAAGGTTTTTGGTTTGAATATTCAATGCAAGCGGCATTACGTGTAGTAATGCGGCCGCTCACGCTTTGGCTCGGACTAAAGGCCCGTTTATACTAGGGGCAACACACGGGCGGCAAGCGCCCTCTGTGCAGCTGCTACGTGCGCTTCTTGTGGGCAACGAAGCGATTGACGAGCTAGCGATTCACAGTCGCCCTGCCTCATGCAACATA